ATGTGAAATAAGAATGTGTTCTGGCCACTTAACTACGAGCGACAATTCTGAAAACCTTATCCAGTATTCTGATACGTCTTTTGTTTGTTTCAAGTCTCTGAGTTGTTTCTCAGCTTTGCTAACTCTCTCCGTGTCAAAAAACGTGGCTTTGAAGGAATCTACAAATTTGCTCCAAGTTACCAAATGTCCATTATCCCCATCTAAGATTTGATCCATAAGATGTTGTCCCCATATGTTTGCCTTCCCCGTTGTGTACGACAACGCGAACGCAACCTTTGCATGATCATTGACAAACGCCGACGAGTTCAGTTGTAGATAGACACCAAGTTGATTCAAGAAAATTTCAGCCTTGGATCCCTTCGAGCCATCATATTTGTCAGGAGTGGCTACTTTAGGTGGTCGTGGTTGTACAGCAGGAGGTGCCGGGACGTTGTTCAGCTGCTGAGGAGCACTTAATCCTGGCGTGGCATTGGCATTAGGGTCCGACATGGTGGTGTTTTGCTCTTGTTTTAACCGTTGTATTTCAAGTTCAGCTCTTTGACGTAAAGCAGATTCTTCGTTCAGCCTTTGAGTTAATTCAGCTAACTGACGCATCACTTCTTCCATGTTCATATTCGACATGTCTCCGGCAGTACTAGCGGCTTCGGTGAACGTATCTTCAGAAGATGACGAAGAACAGTCTCCGGGTGGTTCAAACTTCGGTGTTTTGGCGGGTTTGTGTTGGTTGATTGCGGGGTAATGTTAAGGTTTCTGGAGTGCTTGGAATTCTCGGGATGTTGACCAAGATCTGAATAACTTTTAAGCGTGAGAGATCTTCTTTTCAAACTTTAATCAACTTTTAACTTTCAACTTTAAACTTCTAACTTTTATCTTGATTTTTCTTTCGTTTTCTTCTTTTCTTTATGTTATTAATCTTCTTTTCTTCTACCGCTCCTATCCTGAGTAATGGGTGGACGTTGCAATATGTTAGGACCTGGAATGGAGGATGGAGCGCTGAGGTGTAGTTGCTAGTATAACTAGATTGCAACGTGAAGACTAAAAGCTCAGTGAGAGCGCGCGCTGGGATATAGCTAAAAGGTACAACACGCAGCTATAAGCATATGCTACTAGAGAGACCATAACAGTTACTCACAGTATGGTCCACAGAACTCTTTTGCATGTTCCTTTGTTGGTCTTTTTTCTGTCATTTCTTATGATTTGTTTTTATTGAGCCATTTTCTGTTTCTCTTTATATCACTTAGATCTTTGCTTGCTTCATCTGATACTAATTTGTTGCTTTCCTAGTCTACCAGGTCCGGAAACAACTAAATTAATTTTATGTCTTGGGTTCTTTGTACTCACAGCTATCAACCACTCGTGGGTCAGGGCAGAGTTCTGTGAGTCATGTGGCAACCCTTTTGATCAACAATGTGTGATCATTATTGATCTTTTCCCGTGTGTAGCATGCCGGGTCAAACCAGGTCTGGTGGATTGATCTTTTCCAGTACCAGTGGTTTGATGTTGTCCCCCAAAATGATGGCTCCTTTGGTCCTTGTTAGCCATTCACCAGTCATCTCTCCCTTCAAAGACCCTTCAAAACCAGCTAGTCACTCAAATGTCCTGTACACCCTGTCCATTCATAGTCCTGCCGGCCTCCCCACCTCTGCCTTTCAATTGTCTTTTGGATTAGTGTGCTTTTGGGCCAGCCAAAAGGGCTGAAATTGAGGGTTTTGAGCAAATGCAGCAATGAAAGGGGATCCAAGAGGCCCAAAAAAGTGGCAATGAGACCCAAAAAGCAAAAAAAGGGCTTTCAATGGCCAATATAATGTGCCGAAAATCATCAATTTTGTTTTATTTTTGTTATTTTTGTATATTTTTGCTGTGTGGCACAATTTTGTTTTATACTTGGGCCAGGCCGGGTCGCCCACTAAGAAACAAGAGCCCGAGTTGGCTTTGATTTTGAAGGCCGGGCTGGGCCGGTTCCAGGCCTTAATGCAGATATCCCAGAAGGTGGTGGCAGTAAGGTTCTTGGATTCTGGTTTGCCTATGTAGATCTCCCTCTGCCTATGGGACTTTTTGACGGACCTAGTCTTGCTGAACCTCAAGTTTCTGTAACTGCTGACTTGTAAGCTCCAGCTTCTGAGATCACTGAAACTTTCAAAGTCTCTTTCAATTTCTGGCAACTAGTGTTACCTGAGGAGCCTTCTAACAGTAAGAAACTGATAACTCTGAGTCTAGGTGGCCAGCAACCTAGCAAGTACAAGTTGCCAGTCCCAAAGTACAAAAATTATAACCCCAAGGTATCCAACAATAAACTCACACTTCCCAATCCCACTGTCTCCTTTGTTATGTTCAAATTGAAACTTTTCCAAGTGTGCAACAAGAAACTTCTCTGGGTTTCTAAATCACTTGGAAAGGCTTGGTATGCCCATAGTACTGTTGACATTCAAGGATTTGTCAATGCAACTTGTATAATCAAGGCAGTCAAAATGGTAATTGAAGACAAGCAATCTTTTCAAGATTTCGTGACCGTGGCACAGCTTGTTCCTTCCTGGACAACCATGGGCTTCAAAATCCACCACAAGAACCCCAAACTTGCTGAATCCGCAACTCAATCATGGCCACTCCATGCCACATGCCTGCTAAAAAATAACCTTCAGACAAATCTGACGGCAAGGTATCCAATGCAGACTCTCAAGGTGTCAGTACCTAGTATTTCACTTCCATTTTTGAATCATAGCACTGAGATTTTCCATGGGTAGAAATCTTAAGCCTTGGCAAAAGATATCTTCAGATGTCAATGGCACACTTTTCCAAAGACTTCAAGTGTGGTGAAAATGTCACCTAAGTGGCCAACCCAAAGGACCCGGGTGAAAGTATACTACTCAAATAGAACCCAGTCAATATCAAAAAAATCATTCAGTATGAATAGAAACCATTGTGAAGTAGAAATGATGCCTTTGTGCCTCTGGGGTTTGTTGTGTTTTTCCCCCGGACACTAGGAGGGGACTTAGTTAAGTTAGGAAATGATGGGAGAAAGACTGTACCAATCAATGCTTGAAGAAGCCTTTGAAATCCTCCCAAACATAGAATCCTTCTTAGCAGTTGAGTGCCAATACTCCACCCCGGAAGATATCCGGGAGGAGGGAAAAGTGTTTCCCACCACAGCTCCAAGGAAACCTGGTGGTTTGGTGCCATTTTCTAGACCGGCAATACTGCCTTCCAAATTTCCAAGATATTGCTCCTGCATCAAGCACTCATCTAAAAGGACAGACACCTAATCAGCTATGGGAAGTTTTGAAGACACAGTGACAAAGTGATATGAGACAAAGAAAACCAACATACACTGACCTAAGAAAACAAGCATGTTTGGGGTCAAAGTCCCTACCACATGCAAATACCTAGCTTGTTTTGAGGGACTCTGATTTGGGTGCACTGTCCAAGCTTTCTTGAGAGTGATATTGAGGCAATCCTTGAGATCACTTGCAACAGTTTTTAACTAAATCCAGGTTCCTTTACAGTGATAAACAGTGTGACAATACTTGTCCAGGTACAGTGCTGGATTCCCTCCCAGGAGTTCCAAGATGACATCACTGTCTTTGTCAGTCAAGGCAGTGTTCCTTCCGAGTTGCTGGGATTCTTCAGGACAGGGTTGCGTATGACAGAGTATTTTTGTCAATTTAATCTGCACCATCAAGAGACCATGTGGTAACTCACTGGTGACTTCAATATATGGCAGACTTGGTCAATGTTTTTTCCAGCGCAAAGGTACTGCACAGCCAGCACTTTGATGCTGACTTTGTATTTACCGGGTCACACTCTCATATCTAGAAGGGGAACCCAAATGAATCATAACATGGTTTTGACTAGGTAGGGATTAAAGATGGGGGGAGAGAATATAGAGGACAATTGTGGGATACAAAGTAGAATCCAGGCAAGTGCCCAGCTTTGTGCCTGGAATTATTTTGGCAGTAAATTTTGATTTTCTGGGCAAAAGTCTGGGCCTAGAATTCAAATTTACTTCCAAAAAAAATCTGGGCACAAAGCCGGGCACGTGCCCGGATTCTACTTTGTATCCCGTAAATGTACCAAAATGAGATCCAGATGAAATATTTCAATGTGGTGGAAATTTTTCATTGGATGATGGATGTGGGCCAATACTGTGGTTGTGATATCAGGGTGCGGGGTGACCTGTTCCCCGGTCCGCTACAGATCTGCTGCGCATCACCTGTATATGGTGTGGTGCTGGGGTGGAAAACGCAAAAAATTGTGCCACCTAGGACACAAATTTCTTGAATAGCTCTAGGTTATAAGTCAATTGATGTTTGTTGAGACCTTAATCATCAAGTATTAAATGCAAGTAAGAAATCACTTAGGAAAGAAACCAAATTGTGGATCAAGGATTCTTCTCTCAAGAAGGACCCTCCAAAGCTGTACATTGACCACTTTGATCATCTCATTTTATAAAACAAGAAAGTTTATACATTACTCTGACTGTGAAAAACTTTTTATGTTTTGTAAAGATTCAGCTGTAATTTTCTTGACCTGACCCCTCCAATGCCATTGGCAAACATTTTGTTGAGATCTTATTTTCTTTTTGGTTACAAAGTTTGTATAACCTTGATAACTTGAAACAATTTGGTTTCAAAAATCAAGGCGGGAAAGATGATCATCAAATAAAGTATAGCACAAAAGAATCTGTTTTTATAGAAATCTATGATTCATACATACCATGGGTTTTCTTTTATTGAATGCTTTGATTAAACTTTCATCTCTATATTTAAGTATGATTATATTAAAGATACAGATCAAAAGATGACTTGACTTTTTTTCGTGAAACCAAAAAATACTATATTTCTTCAAATTTATCATTTAGTATACAACAAAAAGAAAGAAAACTAAGAATAACAAATGGTCAATTTGAAGTTAGTAAAAGATGAAGATTAATCTCCAAATCAAAACTTGTAGGATCAAACCACAAGATCAATCTATCAAAAGAATCCAAAAAGATCAAGAAGAATTTAACTTAATTTCGGATATATATCATTTCGACGGTTTTGAAAGATTGGCATTGATTTCCTAAGTTGATTTAAAGAGTTTAAATCAATATCAATTAATTCAAATCTCACTTCATCATCATCATCATTGTCTTTTGAAGGAATTTCAGTTAAGATTGAACCCCATGGGTTGATGATCATTGAATGACCCCATGATTTTCTGAGTTTAGGTTCGGTTAGATGAGTTCCTGATTGTGCTGAAGCTATTACAAAACACTAAGAAAGAAAGAAGATCAGGATGAATAAGTTAAAGGTTTAATTCTTAGGAAGTGGGATGAACTCTTTACTTGAGTTTCGATGGCTCTAGCTCTTAGAAGGGTTTCCCAATGAGCTAAACCTGTTTTAGGTGTGAATGCAGACTACAGCAAAGTTTATAAACAGAGTATGGTGATGAAATTCTTTGGTTAGTTGACGTTTAGCTTAAATGTGATGCTTATTTTTGAGGTCGAAAAAAAAGGATGAACTAAACTGGATAAATTAAAATTTCTGCACCTCTTTCTCTGTGCATTAGAGAGACTTCTGGAAACCTGTTAGGTTTGATGGATGAGTGATGAAGATCAAATTTGGTTGAACTTTTGAAGTTGATCATATACATACCTTAGATCATAACAAATTAATTGACCAACTTTAGAATTTGAAACAGGAAAATAAAAAAATTCAATCAGTTTGGGAAAAAAAATTGTAAGATAGAATGTGATGTTTTTTTTACTTTTTCCAATTGGAGTTGATATTGGATTTAAAAGTTCATGACCAGGTTTGATGAATTTAGATTCATTTGAATTAGTTTGATCATCTAAATCCTTAATTCAAAACAAAAAAAAACATATATTATTAACAAAAATTTAGTTTTTAGTTTGATTTCAAGGCTAAGGAGTTTTTTTGGCGCGGTTGGGGGGGGGAATGACTCACGATATCAAAAAGGTGTAATTTTCGATAAGCTTGTTGAATTTCACCTTGGTTTGAAATTATAATGGATGTATTATAACATCTTTCTGGATCATCACTCTTTTTTAAAAAATCAAAACCAAAAACCAAAAAAAGAAAACAATCATCAGTTTCAAAATTAAAAGTTTCAAGAATTCTTTAAAAGGATGATTGTTTTGTTTTTTTACTTTTTCATGAACTCCTATTGAGACCCAACAATGATTTGATTTAGCTGTAGAACAAATCCCATTTACAAATTCACTTTCTTTTAATGATTTTGTTAAAGATTTATATGAACTTGAATTAGCTATAAAATCAGATGCTTCAGGTAAGAAGACCATCTGATGTGATTTGATTTTAATTTTTTTTCACCAAATTTTGTCAGTTATATTTAATTGAACTTTTTGGGTCCCATATTTCTATATGGGATGAATGAACTGAACGGCGAGAATTTACTTTTGCACCCTGAGATGATGAAGTTTGAATGATGGATTGACATTTCTTTAGATTATCTAAGATTCTGGATTTACTATTTTTAGGAATTCAAAGAGAACCAAAGTCAATATGCAATAGATGAAGTGTAAAGAGATAGAGAATGTTGACTTACCTACATATTTGACCGATTGCAACCAAGACCATCGTGGATTCGTGATGGATCAGTGTCAATGATGATGATGATCTGGTGAAGGGTGATCGACAATGCCCCGTCGGATACCCGGCCGAAGTGGTACCGACCCGGGAGATTTCCCGATCGATCACGAATGGCCAGATGGATCGTCGGATAGCGTCTTGACCGCTTTAAAAGACTAAACAGTCAGTGAGTGTCTCTCAGTCTCCAAACCATTCTCAACCAAAACACACTCTCACCAAGAACACCAAAGCACTATCGATCAAACAATCAAACAACAATGACTCAAATCAAAACTAATGAAACATCAATTCAAAATCCACCAGCTGATCTAATTCAAATCTATCAAACTATCAAAAACTTAATCAAAACTCATCAAGATTCCATCGAATTAGTTTTACCCTTGAATTTATTAACTTTGATTTCTCATGCAATCTTGATCACACATCAATTTAAATTAAAACTTTCTAATCCTTCAGACGATCAAGATCAAGTGAAGGATGAGTTAAAAACTGATTGGAATGAAGTCTTGAAATCTGATCGAGCTAAACATTTTACTTATACTCATCTTCGTAGTAGTCTTTCTTTTGAATTATCGTTTAATAAGATTGGTGAAAGGATTACCATTTCTGGTATAACTGTTGAGGTAAGCTTTTTTGCATGGATCATCACGAGACTTGATTTTTAGATTTTACTAATTTGTGGCTTTCTTTTTTCATTTAGAATGATCAAGTTTATAGTCATGATTTATCTATACCTGGTTACTTTGATTTAGAAGAGTTTCCCGTCAAGATCTCATCAAATGAAGATCAAGAATTAGGATCGATTGGATTCCGTTCTACATCTCATTTACTTGATTTTATTTCACTTTTTAACAATGATGTCTTACATCATTTATTACCAGATCTGATTCCAAAAACTTCACCTGAACCAAATCATCAATCCTCTTCATCATCATCAGCACCACCACCACCACCATCAGCAGCAGTACCTTCTTCAACTCCAACTCAACCTCCTCAATCTTCAAATCCGAATCCATCGAGTTCAATTCAAACTCCCTTTAATATAGGTCAAAGTGATTTAGATCCAATCGGTACATCCAACATAAGACTTCCATCACTTTATAATAGACCGACCAATGAAAGAAACCCATTAAATTCAAATGATGGAATGTTCGTTGGACCCAATCATTCGATCTTTAATCATCATCAATCTCAAAACCCATCAAATTTAGGTCCGTTTGGTGGTGATGGCTTCTTACCTCCTGATGCGGTTCCTCATGGGGCTAGGTTTGATCCGATCGGTCCTGGCACTGGATTTATGCCTAGACCATCAAGAGCTGGTGATGAATTTGATCCGATGGGTGGGCTGGGTCAAGGTTTACCTATGGGTAATCCATTCCCTTCACGTGGTGGTGGTGGTGGTGGTGAGTTTCCTTTTAATCTCGGTACTCGAATTGAATTTGTTTTGTAAGCTTTAAGATTGGATTTTGATTTATGTTTTGGTTTTAGGATTTCCTGGATCTGGTGGATCAGCTAATTATGATGATATGTTTATGTGAAAGAAAAAAAATGTGTAAAACTTGAAGTTGAAAAGTGTAAATGAGTTTTAGGGTAAGGTAGAGGATTCGACTTAATCAACAAAAGACGATCGAAATCAATTTATTAAAATGTAAAATGATATGGAGATTCATTGTAAGAAAATTAGTTGGTTTCTGTTTACATATTTTAGCAGGATTCAGATTGAAGAAAACAAAGTATGTGATTTGTACAAAAGGTTTTTTTAGTGATCTTATTAAATTGAATGAGAAAAAAAGTACATGCAATATGATTATATTCAAGTAAACTTGATGATAACCTAATCTTTTTTAAAGATCTAGTGGATCACAAAAAAGGTGAAGAGTCTGAAAGAAGAAAGTTGTTTTCATTATCAATAGCTTCATATTCTTGGTGGTTTAAAAGATTGGGTTCGAATGTTTTTTGGTGAGACGTGGTTAGAGATCTCATAATGAAGAGGTTTGTGAAGGGTAAGGAGATTAATTCTCATGTCCCTGAGCCTCAATGTGCGAGTTCTTTCGACTTCTTAAGATACTGTGTGTGTGGGAGCCAAGATTAAATATCAACCTAGAATGCTTGAAAACAAGTCAACGGGGTGAGTAACCTAACGAAGTTCCTCGAGCTGCAGGCGTCCTTGACTTCTGGTGGGCTAGTTCCACCCGCTATTCTCCGATGTTTAGGCTTGTATTCACACAAGAGTTTCCCTGAGTTTCCGCTCTGATGCGTCATGCTTGATTTGGGGTAATGGTTCAGGTGCAATCTCGCAAGCCGTCATACTAGGTGAACATTGTGATCCTCTTTGATCCTCTTGGACATAGGTTGATCAAATCAAATCAGTCTGGTCGATTAACTTCAAATTAATGATGATGAAAGAAGCTATCATACGGATCATTCTGATGCTAGCTTACTTCAATTTGTAGATGGCTACATCATTAAATCATCATTCATGATAGTCTAGAGAAGGTAAGTTGAAAATTTCTATTAGAACAACACATCCACTCTCTGAATTTGATCCACTTCAGTCACTTTGACTTCAATTCGATTTGCCTTTTGCCATTTAATTTTCAAAAGTGGGCGTGTCCATAATAACATGACGAGGCACTACTTGAGACGGTCAGAGATCTTTATGGCCAGTGCTTTGTGTGACTGATTCATGATCTTTATAAAGCTGCTACTTGTCTTATCATCCTACATCCACACATTTCCCACAAGCATCGATTTTTACAACTCATAAACTGATTCTTATCATCAATTCTAAAGCTCTAAAGCTCTAAAGCTCTACCTTTCAATCTTCCTTGCATATTACAAGACCTTGTTAACATGGCATATAACGCTTCATATCAAACTCCTCCATCTCAAAGTCAACAACAAGGTTATAATTATGGCTCTGGTGCTTACTCCTCGGCACCTTCAGGAGGTAGTTACCCAGCTCCGCCTTCATCCGAACAACCTTTACCTCCTGGCTGGTAATTCTATCTCTTAGCTTTCTTTTCAAATCAATATTACCCTTTGGGGTTTATCTGATTTATACTAATAAGTTTGTCGTTTTTGACGATTTATAGGACCAAGGAGTGGAATCATCAATACAACGCTTGGTTCTACATTAACAATCAGGTTCATCCAGTGATCACCCAATGGACTCATCCATCTCAACATCAACCTCCTCAAGCTCCTCCTTCTCAATACGCACCTCCACCAGGTCCACCTAACTCTTCATACGGAACTTCTGGAGCTCCTTCAATGCCTCAGGCTCAAGCCAATAGTCCTCCTAGCTACACTCCCAACTCTGCATCTAATGGGATGCCTCATGTAGTGAATAATGAGAAAGGTGGACCTAATAATTATCAACCTTCATCTGGTCCCTCATTTCCTGAACGTAGTGGTAAGTTATCACATAAATAATCAAAAATCGAAATTCGTATCACAAACTGATTTACGATCTTCCTTTTTGAAGGCTCTTATGGAAATTCTTATGGTCCTCCTCCTAACGGTCCTTCCTCTAACCAATATGGCGCTCCTCCAAATGGTCCTCCTCCGAACCAGTATGGCCCACCTTCCAACGGTCCTCCCTCGAACCAGTACCCAGCTCCACCCAATGGTCCTACTTCCAACAAGTACGGACCTCCTCCAAGCGGACCTGCTCCTAACCAGTATGGCCCACCTCCCAGTGGTCCCCCTCCCACCAACCAGTATGGTGCTCCTCCTACCAACCAGTATGGTGCTCCTCCTACCAACCAGTACGGTACTCCTCCTACTAATCAGTACGGTGCTCCACCAAGTCAACCTCCTCAACCTGGTTCACAATATCCAGTTGGAGGATATGATATCTCAAATCAAAAAGCTACATCTACATCTAAGCCAACAACGACGACGAATACCAATGGAAAGAAACCTAAATCTGGATTATTTGGTGCTGGATTAGGAGCTTTAGGTGGTTTAGGTTTGTTTACATTTTTCTTCTTGAACTTTTTGCTTTTTTATATATGCTTTGTTTAAAATCTTGAAAAATTAATTTGTTTTTGTGTTTTTTTAGCTCTTGGTGCATTTGCTTCACATGAATGGAACCAACATGAAAAGAAAGAAGAAAGAAGAGAAGAAGAAGCTTATGAAGAAGGATTAATTGATGGATCTTATTAAGAAAAAAAGGTAAACATCTTCATCAATTTTGATCTTTTGTTTGTTTGTTCCTAATCACCTCTTTAACCAACTTTGTCTTCCTTTTTATTCTAGGATTTATGATTAGGATATTTGGAAAATTCAAAATGGTTCATTCATTGTGGATTTTCTTATCTTACCGTTTTCTTTGATCTTTTCTTTATTCTGGTTGATCCTTTTTCTCTATTGAAACCTCTGTATGACTCAACAATTTCTTTCTCGTCTTTTGATCTATGCTATACTATCAATTTCATCAGGGAAAAATGATATCTTATCCTATCTCATTTACAAGAAAACCCTCATGTAGAGTAACTTGTACACGTGTTTGAGTTTAACCTTGTTTGAAACGTATTCTAATTGTGGTGCTAAAACACGAAAAGCTGCTCATGCGTTCCCCTTGGATGCGCAAAAACCGGACAACAGTCATCGTGGTCTCCATGGCGCAACTGGTTAGCGCGTCTGACTGTTATTTGGCCGGTTGCAATCAGGAGGTTGGCAGTTCAATCCTGCCTGGGGACGATTTCTTTTGCCGTCCATGAGATGTTTCAATGAAAGACCTTTTGATCAACCACCAACGTTAGGTGTTGTGGTCGATTTTTTAGGTGCTTGTGGTGGTAATAAGGCAAGTGCGTGGCCGCCGTCGATTTGTGTCATGTTATAGTTGGATCTGGTAAACTGAATAAATTTCGTAACTCCATCCGTCCTCTGACTGGATCTGATTGGGAGACATTTCAGAGGTCGCGTTATATATGAAGGCTTAATCCCTTTTCGCAAGGTGGCAAGGCAGGATTGATCATAGACTGGTGACGACGGGACTAGGAATCAATCCTGTCCATGTCACGACCCGGGAAGCTTAGGACGCGACAGGCGTAACCTAGCAAAGACGTGAGTGCCTGAGTCGAGTGACACCTGCTTACACCAGCAGGACCTGGATGAGGTCAGCCTTCAGGCACCCAGAGAGTGAGTCTAGCCTTTTGGGTCCCTTCGGTCTTCGAAGCTGGATCCTAATCCATCCTCTCACTCCTCTCCTCCATCCTCACTATCTTCTCACGCTCAGGAGCTCTTCTCCCGGGTAAAAATCTCCCATTTTCGAACCCTCTTGATTTCATCCCCGCCCTCCCCTTGGTTCGAAGGGTTGAAGGACCTCTTACCCGTTCAAAGAGACTTGTCCGTGTCCTGGTTGAGATCACGTACGATAGACGTGGATCACATGACACGGAATCTAGGTTCCTCCCAAGCTCGCCACACTCACCTTTGACTCGTTCAAAGGCAAGGGTGGCTACCATTCTACCTAGTACAAGTCGGAGGGCTCTCCCCACCGAGGTACTCCCACTTCCTACCTCCCTAGCTGAGAGGTAGAAAGACATGGATCAGTATCACAGAAATGTCAATGGTCTGTGTCAGCACCGAGTCGAAAATCGTAAAGGAGGATACAAATCATAGATAGATACTTAACGAGGTCAAAGACTTTTATTTACAAGCCATTGATCATCGAAACAACCAAAATGGTCAAAATAGATCAAAAACTTATAACATGTGTTAAAGCTTCATATTGCACGACAAGTGAGGGTTTAAATTTGAGTGAAGTTTCCATTGGAAACGTAACAATTCATGTGGAGCAGAATGATCTCAAAGAAAGGTGTCCGTTGTTTGTTCTCATCCAGTTGAACTGATTGAAACATAATTTACACTAATCAAAACCAACACTTATATTCAGAGACAACATACAACTTTACAAGGGGTATCAAAAAAAGGAGTGGTCAACAGAAATTACACAACAGAGATGAATGAATGATTTGATATTGATAGATTATAGTTGACGACTAGAACCATCAGAGAAAGAGTGAGTATTGATCAGAAAAAGGAAAGAGGATTAGGATGGTGCAGCTGAAGCGTCTGTTAAAGACCAAAGATACCAAATTGCGATTGATCTAAACGGTTTCCAAGGTTCTGTTAACTCTTCTACTCAAGGATCCAAAAAAATCAAAATCAATTGAGTTAACTGGATCTTTTAGAGTTTTCTGGAAAGTTGAGTGATGAAAAGGTTCAAAAAGAAGTTAACTAACCCATTTCTTTGGGTGTAAGGTAAAGTCCAGATTTGATTGGTTTAGATAAACGAGTTTTCATAGAAGAAATCGTTAATGAACAAGATTGAGGAAGTGGAGCAGGATCGAATTGATTCCATAAAACCTTTTCAGATTGGTTTTCTAAAACTTGAGTTTCTTCATCAGGTTTAATTAGATTTGTTTTTGACTTTGACTTTTTCTTAGGTGAGATGATGGGAATTGTATTTGTATACCATCGTAAGAGTCCTTTTTGGATTCCTAAATCAGAAACTGGTAATATATTTGGATGTTTAACTGTAAAGATTAAGAACACTAGTTTAGATAATTATGGAATTCGAGAGGAATGAAAATAAATTAAAACAAAATCATGAGTTTTCAAATCACATCGGACAATGAAAGATTGAATCTCTTTGACTTACTTTCTACAGTCCATCTTCCGATACCTCTAACAGCACATAACTCTTCCATGATCTCATCAGGATTCATGGCTAATAATTTTTCACTTGATAATTGACCATTTACGAAACGATTAGAGAGGTCTAAGAGATACTCTGCTTTCCGTTGACTCGCGCCCGCACTCCTTAATCGTTCCATTGAACATGTTGATACTTGTGATGGTGTCGGAAAGGATGAGTCCGATGGATCTAAGTCACTGATCGTATAAATTAATTAGCGTCGCGTTAGAAATGATGCAGGAGCGTAAGGAATCATAGGAAACCATATCAAATTGCACTCAACTCGGCCTTCTCGGGCAACTCGGGAAAGAAACTGTTCCATAACGTTTATCCAAACAGATAAGTCAATTCTAGAGTGTCTGCAATGATGATATCGGAAAAGGGTAAGAGATGATAAAATCAAACGTACAGTCTTACAAACTTATGAGTGATAGATCTAGCAGCTAACCAACTGACTTGTTGACCTAATATACTCTTACATAAACTTTGAAATGGTTCAGGTTTAGCATTCAGTTGTGATGATTCGAATGGTTTGCAAGGTAAACTTTCAAAAAGTAACTTGAATCGTCGATCGACTTTGATGAGATGAGATTTTGCATCTTCTAAATCGAATGGACTACTGGGAGTCGTATCTTGATGACTGCTTAATGGTTTGGGTAAGGTTTCTGTAGGCGTGATTGGGTGGTTGTACTTTGGTTTCTTGGGGGGATTAGGTCGTTTGATTTCTGGTTGATCTTTGGGTGATGTTTCGAGCTGATTTGATTGAAGAGTAGGAGACTTGTGGCTCGTCAAGGTCGTGGCAGCAAGACGACGTGAAGAACGCGTCAAAGGCATTTTCAGGAAGTTGATGTTGAGTTGTAGTAACGATCGAAAATAAAACAATCAGGATGGTGGTACTCTTGATCGAATGACGGTTTCATTCGGTCCCCCTTGGTTTCATATGGATCCCTGGTGACAATTCCATCCTTTCCTCGTTTTGATCATTTCCAATTTCGTCTTACCCTTTTTAGCTAAAATCTCAGCATGGAAGTGATCAACTTCTAATTTCGAGGGAGCCCTTGGATCTCCCTCGGCGCAAAAATGTAACCCCATGAGGGTTGTGAAAGATAGGACAAGTGCAGTTTCTGCCCGATCCCCGGGTCTCCCTAGTAAAAGGCGAGGGGGACGTTCGAATTTGAGACCGGACAGTGCACATGTCGAAGTTCGCCATATCTGCTTATATATACCTTTTTTTTGTATACCAGGTTTCGAGCCTCCCTAGGAACAATCCAATAAGCTCTTGAGAAGAGATGTGAGAAGTATACTGGATTCGTCATGATCTTTGTGCATTATCTCGATTGGAGATGTCTCATTTCTTGATTAGTCTACGGTGAAAAAATATCATTGGAATATCATGTGCGCATCACTCCTTCAATGATGTTCAAGGTGTTAGGAAGTAGAAAAATCCCGACACCTAGGTCTATAAGCAGAGATTCCCTCAATTGAATCAACTTACTTTTCTCTCACATATAAGTCAAGCACTCAAGTACTCACTGGGTTGAGACCCACATTAACAATTGTATGGGAGACTTAGAGTTTTAGAAGATGATTATATGCATATTTACAAATTGATCAAGATTGAAAAAGAAAGAAATGCTGAAACTACAAGCTAATAGTGACAACAACTTAATGAGAAATATGCAGTGATAATCAAATAGTAGGGTTATGTTTCAAACAACAGGATAAAGACATTCCAAAGAAAAGAAAAGAAAAAATGAAAACAAGATGTAAAAAAACCAACACAAGACCGGGATTATATTTCACTCAGTTACTGCTGACTTCTTTGCGCAGAGATTCCTTCATTGTTGATATGGAAATTGAGAAAACGGATCATTGTAAGACATGTTGTTATTGGTATTGTGGTTATTGTTTTCAAAACCAATCACGTTTCCATACTGATCGAGTGGTGGCATATGATATTGAAGGAAATCGGGGGCAGCAGGTTGATTACTCATATTCATCATCGGATCAGGTTCCCCAGACGAGTTTTGATAAGAGTTTTGGTAAGACATTGGAGCGGATCCGTATTCCATAGCTCCAATACTACTATGTGCGGGTGAGAAACCCATCGAAACTGATTCCACTCCAGTATAGTGTCCGACTGAAGAAGCTTGATTTGATAACGGTAAAGATCCGTGGTTGAACGAGTAAGAAGATAAATCCGGTTGTATCGCATGAGATAGTGATTCCATCATGGGTAAAGAGGTGCTCGAACTGTGGGGATTGTGGTAGGGAACTGAAAGATGCGAAGGGTCTTGTTGTCCATAAGGTCCGGTAGGCTGAAAGGTGGTTCCAGAAGTAGCGAGATTGAGATATGCCATGTTATCTAAGCTGTGAGGTCCTCCATTCCATCCTTGAAAAGCAGGCTGGGGCGTATGTGAGAACCTCAAATGGGGGTCAAGATCAGCAACGGTAGGCCAGCCACCTAGATCAGTAGCCTGACTCTGAGTAGGCTCTTGGGGTTGAGCTTCTTGAGGTTGAGCTTCTGATGTAGATGGTGAGCTACTGTGATCAGCATTAGATTTCCTGGTGGAACCTGACCTTGACTTTGATTTTTGCTTTTTTACCACGGGTGCTTCCTTGTTTTCGGGAAGAAGAATCTTCTTATGATGATACATATCAATGTCGACTCCACCTTGCGCATATTCCTTCTTAGAAGGTCTTCCTTTTTTTACAATCCCATCTGGTCCTGGAACTTGCCTAAATCCACTTCGATGTTGTTTTCTATTTCCACTAGGAGGATAAAACCTTCGAGGGATAACTTCGACTTTTTCATCTGAATCAAGACCAGCTCTTGAGCCTTTGCTTGCCTTGCGTGTGATACTGCTAGATGGGGTAGGCTTGGTGATCCGACTAGACATTCTTCTCTTCACGGCGGCAGAGGTTGAAGAACGGGTTCTGAGGGCCGGTGGGCCGTCATTGGAAAGTGAGGTGGCCATGGAATGGTCCATTGAGCTTGGCTCCGGAGGGGATGAAAGCCCAAAAGTGGATTGGTTAGGCTGTACGGTGTTGGTATGTTGTTCAAACGAGTTGTTGGATAATTGAAAGTCTTGAAATCCAGGGAAATGGTGGTTTGGTGCGATCTCGGGGGCCTGAGGAAGACCAGGAAAGAGATTCATCAACCATTCTTGGCTGGTGGTCCTGTTGCTATCAGGGCTATGAAAGGAGTAAGATTAGTTCAGAGTAACATATAAGATACCTCGACCTTCAGACAGGAATCTTGGTAGATCTAAAACTTCACTTACAAGTAATCAGCACCAGCTAGGTAAGGATTGGAAGTACCATTCATGGTTGAGCTTGCTATTTGAAAATCGATGGGTTGATGTGGACGATATGAGTTTGCTTGGTAAATGGTTCTACGGTCTTTGAACTCGCAAGATCCAAGTGTTGAAGGAAAATAGAAAGGTGGATTCCGGTATTGGAAATGATATGAGGGCGACAGTTCTCAGAACTGTTAAGATTTAAACGATAGACTTGCGATGAGTTTGACAAAGTTGGTTTGCAAAGATAGTAACGATTGTGGTTCTTTTTGTTGAAGGAAAGATCGAGAGTTTCGATTGAGAACAATATGTACGAAGAAAGATAAAGAAACAAATGATGATGATTCGAGACGGTGAAGGCAAGATGATCAAAAGTTTATGTATCCTGACCATCACCCTCAATTGATTGGTTCATAATGTGATCTTTTTTTGTTTTCGTTGAGCTTTTGCTTTTGACATTATACTAAAGATGTTTTGAACAATTGTGAACTGAAGTCAATCGTCTTTTCACGAAAGCAGCAAGACTTCGTATACAAAGAAAACCGAGTTGTTTTTGGAAAAGCTATCATTTCCAAAAGCGTCGCGTACTTTTGCTCTGTTCAGCAATGAATGAGGACAATGGTTCAGCATTTTGTATTGATGACATGGCCAAGAAGTTCGAGACAGAAATCTGGATCCATTGTCTCGAAGACCGCATTGACACTTGGGAGCGTGGTGATCGCTTCTCAGAAACAACTCGTCCTCAAGTAAGCGCTCAATGGTAAACGATTCGAAAGCAAGGCTCTCTCTGTGTGTGAACAAAAACCAAGATGACCATATCCTCCATATAAGGCAAGTCGGATTGTAGCAGACAAATGCATCTAAAAGTCGCGTCTCAAGACGCCAAGACTTTGGATTAATTCCAATCCTCGAAAAAGCCCGCGATTGATATCGCTCCGGTGAATTGACCAGTAACTATAGATCCGACTGGAATGAGAGGACGTTGAAGTATAGGTACCACGCGTGCTGCCGATGTGTTCACTTGGACCAGAGCGGGCAGGCATATCTGAACGATCAACTCATGCCTCTACATGGTACGTGCTGGTTCAGTGTGATTTCACAGAATACTGATAATTCACCGGAATTCAATGTGTGAGGAATGGTCAGGATATAAGCAATTGATATGCGACGGAGTCCAGGATAGCATGTCAAGATGAGTGTAAAGCCCAAAACACAACATGATTTACAAGCATGAGTAGCACTGATTCAATCCCGAAATAAGCGCTTCCTAAGAAGCAATAGATGGGACATGCTGAAGGCGTCAAGCCAATGAATCCCTCAATAAATGACTTACGGTGATGGATAAGACACATCACCCGTTGAGGTGGGATAACTTTGAATGAGGCCAGTAGAAGCCTGTTGGGCTTGTGCTGAAAATACGATAAAGAGCAGTGACGGAATTTTGTTCAATGTCAAACAAGATGTGGCGAGGTCAATGAACAGGCCGGAGTGTCTTTTGTCATGCGAGCAAATTGAACCTGGAGAGGCAGGTGGAGTTGCAGACCCGTGTGCGCGCCACGTGGTCACCGTCAGATGGAAAGGCATTCGGCGCGCCAATGAGGAGCAGCCTCAGCCTCAGCCTCCAGTCTTTGATAACGCCCGCGGTCCTTCAGATGCCTCATGTGGTACTACAGGTGATACTCGTCAAACCATCATGCATTCCGCGTGTCATGAAATATATAAGATGATAGAACAGGGAAATGCAACATCGTAAAAATAGAAAAAAAACAGCAATAACGCAACAGGACGTTGCTCAAGTTTAAAAACAGTCGAGTAGCATTTGAAGACTGTGGGGATTTGTGAGCAGATGTGCACAAAGGCTGAAGGAGAACTCGATCAATTTCTTTGGAAATTCATCCTATGCATCTTTGAGTTGAACTTGCTTAAATAATCATGGTGATGGAAACGAGTAGTACCAAGCCCATCATATGGCCGGGGTGAAGCATGTTACCATCACTGGTAGGCTTGCTGGAAGAATCAGTAGAGGAGTGGTTTTGAGAACTGGAAGTGGTGCCAGTGGCATTCACATGTTCGGATACGTTTGACGCCGTGGTCGAACTGACGGAACCTAAGGTGGTAGCGTTCGAGGTAGTGGCGTTAGATGAGCCTTTAACAGATGAATCACTGCTGTTAGCAGCAGAAGAGCCCTGAGATGTACCACTGGTGGACACATTGAAGGGTTGAGACTGAGCCAAAATAGCGCCGTTCTGTCACAAAAACACAGCATAAGTCGTGAGCACTTTTGTGAGCGGAATAGGGAGAAGATTGGCTCACGCTGCCTGAAATCAAGTTCACGGTGTAGCCCGGACCGTCTTTGAGACCTGTGATGTCACTAATACTGAGGGATCCATCGGAGGCAGAAACACCCTTTTTAAGATCTTGCGAAAATCCAGTGGGGAACGTACTGTTGTATTTGTATGTGTTAGCTGGTTTCAAGGCGATGATCTCGACTTGGGCAGGGATGAGAAATGCTAACTTGGCATCCTGGTTGCTAATCTTTACATCAAAGGTCGATGGGTCAGTTGAAACGGAAGACCATTGGACCTTCAATGGTGACGATGGGCTATTGCAGAAGGGCAAGTATGTAAGGTTCAAGTTGGGTTAGGCTTGCATAAGTGTCATTTAGAGCTACGGCGAAGTCGCGAAACAATTACTGACTTCCACAAATCCCCTCCAGCAGGGCTGGTGACGGTTAAACCAAGAATTGGTTGAGCATAAAAGGCAATAAAATACACGAGAGAGGCTGCGAGCATTGAGTTTGAAAGCATTGTGCTGTAGATGTGCGATGGCGTCGAGTCCTTGAGGAGTTAGTAGGATAGCTTTGATATTTAATGATACGGTAGTTGGAAAATGTGTTGAAAGTGAAATGGGGAGGTGGTTTCTGAGAGCCCTCTTCATATAGCTTGTGGTCAATTAATTCACTGGTATCCTCATCACCTGTGGTTCACTTTGGCCAAAGTACATAACATGAAAGACCAGACCAAGACAAACCAAAGATGAACGTCAGTGATCATCTCCCGGGCAACGAATGTCTGAGGCACGATCAACTTTTTGATCATTTCATCTTCATGGGAGATTATGTGGCTCGAGGCCTCACGAGTCAGAGCACAAGCACCGGGCCATTTGAAATAGGACCCAATCGAGTGCTGGGAAAACCAAGGCTTTGTAAAACATTGAGAATACCGCCCAATCTGACCGTGCTTTGATCAAGTGTTGTAGCTTTGCGTGATCGAGAAAACCTTCGTGGAGAGATCGGGTGGCGGAAGGGGACGAATCATGATTGATACAACCAATGATCCAGATGAAAAGCCGGACGGTTCGTGGGCAGACTGCGGCCGAGAAATGCCAAATGCTCCATAAACCTCCATAAACCTCAAAATGCGACAATACACTTGAGAATCGCCCTGAGAGCCCTGCGCCGAACTCCCGACCCAACTTGAAGGACAATCCTTTGAATTTATTCCATCCATCTTTCTTTTCAGTTTCACATCTGTTTGCAGATCAATTATATTTTATCAGTCCTTCCAGATCCCAGTGAAGCAATTATTACAGTGACCCTTGTAAAAGAATTGTAATTAGTCTACCCATGAGTCTGATCTACTCAAGTTGTCTTTTATCAGAGCATGCTTTTCACAAGCAGCATGATATTCAATTTGATTAATATAGACAATGTGGTTATTCAAAATAATGATTTCACTTGAAACTACAACAGAATAGTAACTTAAACACTTTGAAAGTAACATTTATGGTAGCTTTGATTGATGATCTGAAGGAATGATCAAGTTTTTATAATCATCATGTTGCTGTTGACTTGTATTCATTGGATAAATGCAACACTCTTATTCAAGACAATGATGTTTCTTTAGATCAAGATAAGGTAACCACAATGATAACAGAGCGGCATTTGTGGCAGCTATGATTGATCTGAAGAAAAGATGAAGTCACTTGTAGATTAAGCTGGCTGCCATGTGGACTCCTGAAGTGATGACTAAAGACCCCTGGGTGTCGGTCTGGGTTTGTATACATTTGGTGGGGATTTTAGGGTGAGTTTCAAGTGTAATTTTTTCATTTTGAGGTTATGGCACATTTGGTGTTTCTTGGCCACCTTAGACTATGGGGCCCGAGATTTTTACGATCTTCGTTTTACAGACGTTAGAGCATCCACAACGGTCCACCTACTTTGCGAGCCCTGGAACAGACCCCCGATCCTGATTTTGTGGATGTAGGGGGTCAAAAAAACAGGTGTCCACAGCGGTGCACTTGAAGTCAGGGGCCAGAACTCGATTGAGTGATATGGTATGCTTGTACCATATCATCTTGTTTCGAGTGCGGTTTGAGACGTGACTATATCGGTCACGTGGAAGCAATGGCACGTGATATTGGGAGCCCCTATAGACCTCGCAGATGTGGGGGGTCCGGATGGAAATCTGGAGGCCCCCGACGTCTCACCCCCGATTGTGCGAGCTCCGTTGGAGCGTTTTTTTGCGTTTTGACCCCCGACCGGAAAAGTAGTCAACAGACGTCCGTTTATTGACTTTCACGGTGCTTCTTTTGCGGACTTTTTACTCTGTGAAAAGTTTTCATCACAAAAGTACATTTTGAAGGGGGGATCGTGACTTTCACGATCATTCCCTAACGAACATTAAGGACCGTGACACCAGAAGCGTCGCAAAAGTCAAACTCCACCCTGCCAAATTCCAATTTCACGAACAACTTTTTTAATGAGAGACTACAAAAGTTAAGCAAGAGTATTAATGAAAGACTGCGAAATGAAAATAATAAGAAGTTCACAAAGATGACAATGAATGTGAGAGTAAAACAAATAAGAAGTGAGAGTAAAAAAAAAGTAAGCAAGAGACAAATTCCAATTAATGAAAGACGGTGAACAAATTCCAATTAATGAAAGACGGTGAAAAATAAAATAATTAAAATGGAAAAGATACAAGCAAGAAATAAATCAACTATGTCCTCCTCTTGCGCTTTGACTTGCGCAATGGAATAGGCTCTGCAGCTGTGACATCATCAGTTTCCTTGTTATTTGGTAACATGTTTGACTTGGTCACATTGAAACCTTTCAGCTTGAGCTTAATTTTTTTCACACTTGCTGAAGGTAGATAGAGTAATAAAGTAAGGAATGGGCGCGTGACTGGTAAAGGGTCACGAATTAGTGATGTCAAAAGAGCGCTGAGGCTACTATCACTAATGAGTGATGAAAGTGAGATATGCACCTGGTAAAGGATCACGAATTAGTGATGTCAAAAGAGCGCTGAGGCTACTATCACTAATGAGTGATGAAAGTGAGATATGCACCTGTTGGAAGGTAGCACGGAATGAAAAAAGACACAAGATAAGAGTTTGAGTGAGGAAACAATTACTGCACACAAACAACGGTCTTTTATATAGCTAACTTTCCGATACATAGGTTAATAATATCTCATCAGGATTGCGACTCTCATTCACTGCTTTGGGACAAATATAAAACATATGACTATAACGAAGAGAAGGAGTTAGGAGTTGTTGGATACCATGACCAATTCGGAATGGTGGTTATACTTCCTAATCGGGATGTTGGCTATTGCAATGTTATCTCAATATAGAGCACGAGCAAGCACAATGTCAGTCTTTTGATTTGGAAACCTGATGATTTCAACTCACGTTGAATCACTTCTTCTTGAATCACTTCTTCTTCTTCTACTAACTCCCACTGCTCTTGGTCTGCTTCGCCCACCGTCTTTGTCTCGGGTGGGGCTGAGAGGAAGAAACATAAAATTAGAAATTTAATTTAGAAGTGTAAAAAGAAGAGACACTACTCACCTTTTTTGGGGGAGAGCGTGACCAATGGAATATCCTCTTCTCCATCAGTATCTGATTTATCCATACCAAAAGCAATCATGTCTTCCAATTCTTTTGGAGACATGATATCATCAAATAAAGAACCTGTCTCGCGTGCTACACAAAGATAAAAATGAAATAATGTTAATGTTTCTAAAGAATTTTACAAGACAGGCGATGATGTTGCTCACCTTCTTCCTCATCCAATATTCCAAAGCACTCTTCCAATTGTTGGGAATAATCTTTTGGATCGTGTGCTAAACAAAAATAAAAAGACAATAATGTTAATGTTGCAAACAATTTTCACATGAGAATCACGGTTGTTCACCTTCTTCCTCAGTGCCAAAGCACTCTTCCAATTGTTGGGAATAATCTTTCTCGTCCTTGCCTTTGCCTGCTTCGCCATCCAAAGCAAAGTCAAAACATTCTTCCAATTGTGTAGAAGTATTTGTATTTTCAGTTCCTGGTGCGACGGCGCCAATGTACTTCTCCTTTTCTCCAGATGAACCTTCTCCTTTTACCTTATGGCCAATTGCTTTATAAATGATGGCTTTCGATTTTTTGATTACTTTTGATTCTTCAGCAGTTGGTTCGCGGGAGTACATAGCCCACGTCGTATTCGGTGCCGTGCCTCCGATGGATTTGAGATTGCTAGATACCAAGGTTGCAACACCGGCATTGACCAGGTCGTTGTTAAGCCAAACACCAGTGAGGGCGCCGACAGTTTGGACGACTTTACACCAATAATGACCTGACCCCCAAATCCACGAGCCTTCATCAAATACTTGACGCCTTGAATTGTTAATTCATAAGGAAGGTTAGCTTCAGCCATCATCCGTATTGCTTCCTCACGCCGAGTACCCAACAAGTAAGCAATATCCAGGTTAATATGTAAATGCGGGGGTGGAGGGTCCAAGTGTAGTTGAGATCGTTCTAAGTATGGTGGATTTGATTGGCCTTCGTCCTTTTGGCCTCTGCAGGTGCAACAGTGTCGTGCTGAAACTCGCTGAAGGCCAGACGGCGAAGTCCATTGCTGGAGAAGTGCTGGAATATCTGAGTAAGAAAATTGACCTCCAAATCGTTCATGACTAAGAGTAATTGAATTACGATGGTTTGACTCGTTAAGTATGTGTGATTTGTGGTTGGAGCACACTAATTTATTTTTAATGTTGACACGAAACAATGTCTGAGTCATAGCTGGTGAAGAGGGGCTTTTGGGTCGAGTTTCGAGATCAAATATACCCTCAAAGTATTGGTCAGCTGAAGAGTAACAGTCGTCATTGAAATTACCCGGACATCTTTTTTGAATGGCGGCGTGGAGAGTGTTCTGAGCGATAGATAATATTGATCTGATACTGCCGACGTTTGTCATTTCACAGGTTGATCTTGCAGAAAAAAACTTCATCAGCTTCGCATATATGTGAACGGATTTGCCCTTCGACCTGTGGTACCAGAGTGGGGTATGCACTGCGTAAAGGGATTCCGTCATGGCATCAAGCCAACATCGAAACTGCCGCCCTGGGGTTGTAGATGCCACAAAGCCTTGATATGTGGTAACCGGATGGCGATCCACATTGACAGCGCCTTTAGGCCTTCCTAGCTTTTTCGGACGGCCGAGTAATTCATCAGTGGTATCTGGTGGGCGGCCGTCGTTCTTGACGTCTCGTGGTTTTCGCATTTTCTTAGACCAGCCCAAAAGTTGGGCTACCTTCTTGTAGTTTTTAGCTTCGCCACCGTACTCGATTGGAACACCCTTGCATAAATCATCATAGTCTCTTTCGAGACTCCCCACCAGCGCGTAGAGTTGGACTAGGCCAATTTGCACAGTGCAGTTACCTTCGCTGGAATGAGGAAATCATGAAATAAAAGAAGAACATGAATAAATAAGAAAATATAGATAAACATAGATAGAATGACTTACGAGATCATGTAATAAACACGATGCATAGACTCCTGCGCATTTGTTGTAGCAGGCAAATCGTCGCAGAGCCCGTCATCATCAATCTGACGAGGTCTTGATCTAAAAAGCATCGACTGAATGTCGGCTGCTTGCCACCATTCAATCCACTTCTTGGCTTTCGGCCATTCCTTGCGAAGCTTGGTTATTTTTTCATCGAATGACATTCCTCCAGGCCGGTCCAAATCCAACAAACCCAGAGCAGCCTTTGAAAAAGTACCCTATTAATACCATAATCAGAACATAATTAGAATAAAATCAAAGTGATTGTAATAAACATATAGATGAAATGCATACCTCGTCATCCGCAGGTATTATGACGCGATTTCGCTTGACACGGGTTACCTGAGCTCTAAAATGTTCATGACATGCTTTAAGCTTGGATAGGGCCACCTGACGATCGTGCTCTTGAAACACATCCATGTATGCCATGACGAATCCATTCTTTTGAGCAACTGAGAAATCCACGACCTGACGCACAAGGATGTCGCGTTCCTCATTAGTGATATGAGAGGCAAGTCGAGCATCTTCCATTTGTCGCATCAGAGTAGTGAAATGGGCGGCATAATGTTCTTCTGTGAGACCATTCAACCATGTAAGTTGAATGGGAATCCATCGGTTTAAGACGTTGTTATACATTGAAGTGGTGAGCAAATATCCATTTGCAAAAAACTTGTAAGTAACATCGGAGAGTAGTCCGCCTCTATATATGCTGTCGTCCTCATCGCGGCTCAGTAATTGGCCAGCCATCCAATTGGTTTGAAACGTCATATGAGTGTCCTTTGGCATAAAGGAGCACGATATCATCCTTAGACCACGCCTAAAGATGCAAAGACCAAGTAAGAATTGGAAGAAATAAAATAAAATAAGTTGAAACCGAATACACTCACTTAGACCAGTGAATCATGTCTAAAATGAAACTGTCTCCAGCCCCAGGAATTTTCTTTTCAGGAATCACGCCAGCAGCCACGAGCAGCTTGCGGCGATAATATCCAGTCCTATGAAGGTTCCCAAAAGCCGGGTGAATGCTTGTGGCTGTGACAATCTCTTGTTTACCAGCTGGGGCGCGTCCCACCTAATGCATTAAAAGGGATAGTCAGTGTTAGAACCTGAACAATTAGATTTAGTTGTTGAATGGACATACCTTGAGTCGCAGCGGTCCCACATCTGGATTGTCAACAACCTTTTTGCCAAGTTTTCCAAGCGAAAGCTTGTCAGGTTTGGGACGGCGAGGCCATGGGTGGTTATGGATGCCTGAGTGGCGAATTATACCCCAACCACTGGGTATATGCTCATCCAAGCGGCATATGGTGTTCTTACACGAGAGGTATTGAAGAACACCAGGACACCGAGCCGCTGGGCACTTCCGATGCCTAAGAGATCATAACGTAACAGCGAGTCAGGAACATGAATAAAGAGAAAAGAAAGTGGTATGCATTATACTCACTCACTAATCCATTCAAGTCGCTTATTGGTGGAGGTAGGGGGTGAGCCACGGTATCGACAATCCAGATCATTGCAGATGAACACTCCTAAACACGTAAATCGTATGGTTCGCCAGTCTGAGCCTTTGCCTGTACCGCCGCCAGAAGTGGTATACGTGAATTGGAAGGTTCCCCAATTCACGAGTTTCTGGTCTGGTTGCCGTACAAAGACGGTGTTCCCATTTGGCAGAAGGGGATAACCCTTGTCGTCCACAGTAGTGTCGTCGTCGATGAAAGTGGTGAAAGAGGCGCGGTCCTGCGGCAGAGAAAAAGTTTTCTTGCCTTTCTTGCCAGGTTTATTCGATTTGTTTGACAAGTTGATGGTGGAAGAACCGTTGGATTGGGTTGTGGATTTTGAGTTTTGTGACGCCGCCTTAGGAAGCGGGAGGTCTTGCTCTTCCTCAGAGTCAGCTACCTTGTCTTCGTAGCCGTCTTGATAGGGCTGGTAAGTGTCGTCTTCTTGTTCTTCGAAGTCGGAGTAAGAGCTCATGTTGATGTTGAAGGATTAAAATTAAAAGTAAAGTAAATGCTATGAATTAAAGTTGATCAAGGTAAAAGTAATAAGAATTAAAAGTAAAAGTAAAATTAAAAGTAGATAGATAAAAAGGAATATTATCTAAGAAATTAAAAGCAAATCGGTAAATGAAAGAATTAATTGGCTTATGGAGATTGAAAGCAACAAAGCAACTTGTGGATTATTGGATTATTTCGGCAACGAAGTGAATGAATGAAGTAAAAGTGATAACACTTCATATAATGTTCCTTTGAATTCAAGGTGACCTTGAGTCTATTGCGACTTTGATGTTTCCATGATAGTGTCCATGATAGTTCATCAGGATTCCATCCTTCAACTGTTCAATAGTTGGCATTGTTCCATGATAGGCCATCAATCTATGTTATGATTGGAAAACGACGATTGCAAATTTGCTGATTGCCGGCCGATTTTAGTCTTTGACGGTGTATGTTGTGCAACAATGATAGATGCCTGCGAAAGAATAGTTGGAAAAATCGAATCTTGCTGGATTGGGATGATATTCCCAATCATTATTTGGTCCAAACATCTTTCTTCGGAAACTTTTGTTCGGAAAAATCAACAAACTGTATCCGGTGATACAATTTTCAGCTGTATCATTTCCGACGTTTGTGTGAACGAACATTTTTTTAAAAATATTGTATGTAAAATTAAAGACCGCCCTGGGATACAAGACTTTTACATACAACACGATTTCCGGTGATTAATGTCTGTAAATCGAAGATCGCAAAATTCTACGATCCCTTAGACTATAGGATATGGGTTTGGCTGATCAATTGATGAACAGCAAGCCCATTTGCCTGATTCATTCTGGAGGGAAGCCGTTTGAACTTCTATTTTTCTAGAGAATGTAACAACTATGGCAAGAAGAGGAAAAAACAAATGCCTTATGAATCATGGTTTGGACAGCAGTGTGATCTCTCTTGTTTGAAACCCATTGGTTGTCCTGCTTACATTTTTACACCAAAGAAATTCTGAAAAAAGTTTGATGATACTTCTTATGAAGGCATTCTTTTGGGTATCAATTAGGTATCAAAGAAAATGTGCACAAGTTTGGAGAACAGAGAAACAGTTGTAATGGCATCACATTTGGTGTCAATCCATGTCCTGGGATTGGTAAAGAGGTCAAGCAAGATGAAATACTTCTCGAGCTTTTTGATGGTGCAAATGCATATCTTCCTCTTAGTCCCATATCTTCTCCTACACCTGATCTTTTACCTGATTTCACACCAGTTTCAACTTTGCCTGTGGAAAAAGGTGTTTTAACACCTCCAGTAATGGAACTTCCTCCAGCTGCCATTCCCATGCAAATCAGAACTCCACCTGAACTTCCAGATCCAGAAATTGATACTCTGCCACAGACACCACTATAGCAATCAGTGCTATAACAACAATTATTGCCAGGTGTAGCTGTGGTGCGGCAAAAACATGGATGGGACTGAATTTCATTGAATGTACCTGACATTTAACATATTTCTTTGAACATTGACCTCACGAATATCATACCAGAAGGATCAAAGCGGCATTGTGCATGTGGAGGTCAACAGTGTTGTACTCCTGCAGCTCAGTGTGCTCTTGCATGTCAAACTTGTCAATCACCAACTCTCTCTGCAGAACCAATCAATCCAAAAATCAACACAATCAGTCCTTATTTGGTTCTAAGACAAGCCCAAAATATTCCAGAAGGGTTTAGACTAGAGTTGCTGAAAATGTATCCTAAACCTTTTCTTCAAGCCTTGTAATCTGATAATGAATTTGATTGGATTCAGGCAATAGATCATGGATCAGTGAACATGGGATGACAAAAAGTTTGAGATGTTGTGGAGTTACCAGCTGGTAAGAATGGAAGTGGTACTGCATGGATTTGTGAAAAGAAGAAGGGTGGAGATGGAGAACTGATCAAATTCTAAGAACATTTATGTTCTAAAAGCTTTTCACCAGAATATGGTGAAGATTTCAAGAAACCTTTGCACAAACAGGAAATCTGGTAATTTTATGTACTTTGGATGTGATGGCAGCTGCTGAAGATTTCAAGCTGCTTCAGATGGATACTGTGGCAGCTTTTCTCAATGACAGCCTAGAAGAAGTGGTTTATATGAAGATACCAAGAGTTTTAGAAATTGATGGTGCAACTGCAAGGTTGGTTTTAAAATTGAATCAAGCTCTATATGGTCTCAAGCAAGCACCTAAGTATTAAGGTGTGATGCAATTGTTTACAAGTGTTTGTGAAATCCATTTCACTGCTTGTGTCCTGATCAGATCCCAGATTTATTGTATTGTTCATGTGAATGTGAATGATATGACAGTAGCTAGTGACAATTTTGCACATTTTTGACAATTGATAACTGAAACATTTCAGATGGATGAAGATGTGGATTACAAATACATTTCAGGAATGAAGGTTACAAGAGATTGACACACTAGAACTATCACATTAACTAAATATCAGTACATTCATGATTTATTAGACAGATTCAAGATGTTGGATTGTGAATCAGTGGGTTGCCCAATGATTCCTGAGAGCTAGTCAGTCCTAGGAACCAAGGAAGAGATGAAGGAATTCAGGATTTTAGATGACACAGGCATGGAGTTGGAAAAGTAATGTATTTGAACAATCCAACACAAACAGACATTTCATTTACAGTCAGTCAGTCATCTCAAGATTCAAATAACCCATCAATTCTTCACTGGCAGGCTTTCAAACAAGTTTTGAAATGCTTAAAAGGTACAAGTTGTGTTGGTATTTTTTGGGGTGGTAAAGATTCAGAGCTTAAAGGATATGCGGATGCAGATTTTGTGTCTCATTGTTATACTAGCAGGTCAACAGGCAGATATTGTACTATGCTGGGAGGAAGCACGGTGAATTTAAAGAGTAAAAAGCAGGAAAATGTGGCAACTTTGACAACAGAAGTGGAATATGTATACATCAGCTCATGAGGGAGGACATGGTATTGTCTGGGTTTCACATTTGTTGAAGAATCTAGCTGTCAAGCAAAAGGATTTGCTGAGGTTACATTTAGACAATCAAGGTGCAATAGCATTAACTAAAAATGAGCAATTCAGATCAAGAAATAAACATGCTCACAGGTCAACCTCATCACCAGTAGTTTTTTTCATTTACTGTGTATACATTTCATGAGGTTGTGAGCTCCAGTGGGATCCTGATGACATTTGAAAGTTGATGTATCATGAAATACACTTCATCAAAAATCAGATTATTCACACCCTCTGATCACAAGCGGTCACGCCATATCTAGAAGAGCCCAACACAAGGAACAAAATTAAGGTTTTCAAGTATTGTGAGAGCTTGCCCTCAGCTTCTGTCCTCTGTTCAACCACAAAAACTATGAATAAACCATGTGGAATATTGTCCGCCACATATATCGGCATCAATATGATCAACTTGGTCATCCTTGTATTCACATTGCTCACACCTGGTTTTGCTCAAAAATTATTCCAAAATCAAACAAGACTCCCCATGAACAATGTCACTTCAAGGAGTTTGCATGTTGTCAGGTGAGATAATGATGGGTACCAGATTTTCTGAGCAAGAGCTAAGTGGGAAATGGGGCCATCAATTTACTTTTTGTTCTCATTTTGCCATGCAGATACGAGCTTGTGATCTTAGCTCTTAGCTGGTGCGCGGAGCGTAAAGTGCAACTCTTGGAACTTGATGAATCTGTAACCCACTAAATTTGATAATATCTTTGCGATGGAACACTGGAATAATTTGACAACTGATGGAACAACAGGCAAAGGATTTTGGAGATGCGACAAGACAAGAAGAGCAGAGATCGTTATGCGTAGTAGATTTGAGGTATCGTGAGCTTCGGCAAACCGTAAGGGTCGTAAGGTAACATAGCCAATGAAAGCTTGAACTACTTCTGAGCTGCTAACCCACAAATCATATTGCAGGTACACTTGACTCAGGAAAGAAGAACACTGGTACACATAGATAAAACCAATCCCATGATGTGGATAGGTTGAAGCACATTTCCAGCACTCATAGGGTTTGACGAATGATTACCGGCAAGAGTTTGGGTATTTGCGCCGATAGTGTTTGTGTGATTCATGGTGTTCATGTCATGAGTCATGTTATTCATGTCATGAGTCATGTTGGTCATGTTCCCCATGGTTGAATTAGAGAGAGTAGTGTTCGTCATCGGGCCATTCATTGCACCTGGACCACCACCGACGGTGATGGTGAAAGGAGCGGACTGAGCCAAAATCTCGTCGCTCTAATTTTGAAAACAAACCCCTAATCAGTCTTGTACGACAAATAATAAAGACTTATCGAGAGACTGCGACTTACATCGGGTTTGACGAAATTCACACGATAACCACCACCGTTTACGAGACCTGGGATGTCGCTGATAGTAGCGGCCAAAGTGGCGGTCGATAAGTCCTCTTGAACTTCATGTTTGAATCCCGCAGGAAATGTCCTGTGGTCATGTACGCAAAGATGAATTCGGGCTTTCAAAGACATTAAATTTTCCAGAAAGGAAAAGCAGTGCTGACGCTGGGTCCATATTGGTAAGCTCAACATCGACCAACTGTGGGTCACCCGAAACAGTTGTCCATTGTATATTCAATGGAAGCGACGGACTGTAGATCAACAAAAATTGAGAAGTGAGTATATCAGCATTTCCTGGAAGACTGAAATCAAGCTTCATGAGACCAAAATCCACTGACTCCCATACGTCTCCTTCAGCAGGTCGAGTGACCGTCAAGCCAAAGCCTGATTGAGCATACAATGCAAGAAAATATACGACGCCGGCTACAAGGATAGAGTTGGAAATCATTACCGTTTAGATTGACTGGGTGATTCGAGTGTTTTTTGTAGGATGATCAATCAAATGCAGCGAATAGAAATAATAATTCTAACTAATCTAAGGCGCGAGTGGGTACAGGAGGAAGGAGAGTTGCGACCAATCGCTGCCACAGCCTGGCTTACTTAAATATATCGCCATTGCTCTCGTATAAGGCTTTTTTGCTTCACAGCAATCCATCATAAGAGACAAGTGTGAGACAGAACAAGCTAGAACAAGACGAGCCAAGATGACATCGTAGGACATCGTCCCACGCTTTGAGGGGCGCGGACGCGGCCGCGCAAGAGGGACTTACTTAAGCTTAGTCCTGTTATGGCCCGAGGTCTGCCCAGCTGTATGTACACGACTGCGGCACAGTAGACCTAGTTCATCTTGTACGTCAAACCTCGATGTAAGCGTCTAGTATGTATGCATATCACGCTTTAAGCATTGAAAATTGTGCGCTGATTTTTGCTCCCACCAGCTAAAGTGCCTTGCGATGTATGCATATCACCTTATAAGCAAGAGAAAATCTGTGCCAATCTCTATGCTTACATCGAGGGTTGACTGTATATAACCTGTCAAGCTCCAGCTCCCGGCTCCTTCCACATCCTTCTTTGTGGTTGGATCTCCGATGCTGAGCTTTTGCTCTAACAGGTATGCGCAATACATCCTTCTTTGTGGTTGGATCTCCGATGCTGAGCTTTTGCTCTAACAAGTCCCACGTTATCGCTCGGAGTTCGTTTAAGTTTAGATCAGTGGCCTGAACTCAACAAAGCCCCTCACGAGCGTGTTCGCCGCCGCGCCCTCGCTGAATTTGGATTTGAATTGTTGGATCATGATCATGAGTGATCGACGGCGCGGGTGGAGATCAATACGGAACCGGGAAAGACCGGGAACCAAGCTCGGCCAAGACAGCAATCACACTGGATTTGTTTGTGCTTTTTTGCCACTGGGCTGGATTTGATCATAGGGCCAAGGATAAGCTGTACCGTGTGCACATACGCATATGTCATGTGTGAGTATGTAGATGTCACAGATGTGAATTCTCACAGTCACCAGGCAATCCAGCCAAAACTAGGAACGTCAATTCCTCTCCTTCCTCGACTTATCACCCTTTGCTTTCAACTTTCATCTTAACTTTGAATCCACATTCTCAATTAAAACAATGGGTGTTTTATTCTCCATCCCTCTCCTTGGAACTGTTGGAGGACTGGTCTCAACTCTTGGGCAAGAAACTTTCAAAACCTCTATATCGCAAAGACATCATGCTAACTTTACCATTCTCTTTGACTGTTACATGTTCTCTCAGATTGAGTTGTCTCAGTGGCCTCGTCTTCTTTTGCACTTCTCAAGCAGCTTCGGCTTTTTGCAAGTCATGCAACTTTTCATCATCGATTGCCACTCGGGTCGCCTATTGCCTTATTTTGATCTTAAATAGTTTGTTCGCATGGATTATGTTAACACCCTTTGCGATACGAAAATTAGAAAGTTGGAGTTATGACTACATCAAGATGAGGTCCGTTTCTTTACCTATCTGTTCGTTTTTTTGCTTCTGTACCACATCCACTGACCTTTATTCATAATCCTTTAGTTGCACAGCGGACACTTGTTATGGAGTCTTGGCAGTTCACCGAATCTGTTTCGCCCTCACGCTTTTTCACGCTGTATTGGCTATTCTCCTCGTAAACGTCACAAGCACTCGTCAGAAGATGGCTGTAGTTCAGAACGGGTGGTGGGGTCCGAAAGTCTTGATTTGGATTTTACTTGTTCTCGCCACCTTTTTCATCCCCAATGGTTTCTTCATGTTCTATTCGAGATATGTGGCCTGGCTTGGATCGATAATTTTCATTTTCTTTGGTCTCGTTTTACTGGTCGACTTTGCTTATGTGTTTGGAGATTACGTATTACGAGAGATTGAGGCGACTGCAGATAAACTCGACTGGCGTTCAAAGGCATGGGGATACACGCTCATTGGTGTCACGCTCTCTATGCATCTAATCAGTGTTGCAATCAGCATTATCGATCTGTCGTTTTTCGGCGTGGAAGGATGTGGTCTCAATCGGTTCTTTATCATCTTCAACCTTGTCCTTGGTCTTATCGTCACGATTATATCTATTCATCCTGCTGTGCGGGAGTGCAACCCTAGCTCCGGTATCATTCAATCAGGAGTTGTTGTACTTTATTGTACTCAGCTTGTCACCTCCGCAGTTGCAAACCATGACGACGGTGATAGCCGATGCAATCCACTCACCAAACTTCAGGAAGGAACCGAAACTTCGATGGTCGTCCTTGGAGCCATCATGACACTCATCGCTGTTGCTTACACTACTTTTAGGGCGGGTACACGTTCATTTGAATTTACGGGCATGATGGACGATAACGGAGATACCGGATACGTTGCCCTTCAAGACTCGGATCCAGAGCATTCTAGGCCAATCACTAAGCAGCCCAAGAAGAAAGATCCACTCCGAATTCAAGCCCTACAAGCTGCCATTGCTGAAGGATCTTTACCTGAGAGTGCTTTACAAGAGGAAGAGGATGACCATGATGACGAGGGAGGGCTGTCGAATGAAAAGGATGATGAGACCATCAAGGTCCGGTATCACTACTCGTCTTTCCATTTCATCTTTGTGCTAGCAACGATGTATGTGGCGATGCTATTGACACATTGGTAAGTGGAGACCGCGATTAATCAAAGGTGTCATTTCGAAGCTAACGGATGATGAAAACTATTGTTCTATCAGGAATATTGTCACCCATGCGCATGACGATCACCAATCGGACGAACTTGCAACGCCTGTAAAGATTGGTAGAAGTACGGTGACAATGTGGATGAGGATCATAAGTGGTTGGGTGTGTTTAGTGATGTACAGTTGGACACTCTTGGCCCCTGTGCTCATGCCTGATAGATTCTCTGGCATTTAAAACTCTCACCTCTTACCTCACTTCTTTTCATCTTCATCTTGACTCATGAGGGGTCATTTTTTGGATCGTTTGTATGTACTACCTACGTATGCTGTGTGTGATTGGATTGGGAAATTGTAGAAGGTGTTTTCATTTTTGGAGATCGTGAAGTCTTTGAAGCGAGTTGTTCATCTCATCCAATCTCATTGTATAATACCTTTTTTCAACAATCATTACGTTGATTTATCTTATCGTTTTCTTCGAATCTTTCTTATCATCCTTGAACTTTTTATTCGAATGTTTACACGGCTATAAACCGCTGCAATACTACAATTTATCAGCTCAAAGTGAACTGAAAATCGACATCGAGCTAAAAATATTCAGACACAGCAGATTTCATCAAGCCTGGCCAACATTCCCTGGCAAAATATTACTCAGTGTTATTCTAATTTCTGACAAAATTTGGCAAGGTTTAATGAACTAGAGATTGTACGACATGGTTTGAATTTTGGGTGTGAGTTTCAACTTTCTGTTCAAGCTAGCTTCGACCTTTACATTTGAACTTTGAACATCTATGCGCCTTTTTCCCACCCATGTCTTATTAAACATCGAAGTCTTTTGGCATCATTGAGCCTTCGTTATCAGATATCTATTTTTGTTGGATAAGTTTGATTTAAGAAGGCTTCTAGGATTGATCACTTATCACTTCCATATCCTTCCTATCCTTTCCTTCTTCCATCTCTTACGATTTGAGAATTCTCACAGAGAAATCATTCACCTTAACGTTGGTTTTTCTTTGCATCTTTTCAATTTATCATTCTCAATTTTTCAATGATGAGAGTTTAGATAACGAGTACAATTTTTGATCTTTTAAATCCAATTTACGTTGTTTTTCTTTCTCAATACATTCTAGGACATAAACTTACGAATAGAACAACACATCTAACGACAAGAAAGGAAAATAAAGATAAATAAAGCAACGATGAAATACTCAAAATCTCTTGGGATAGTTTTTGGAATTCTTTCCATAATGTTTCTGTAAGTTAAAAAGAATTCCTCATTCACATATAAAAATCCAAGCCATCAAGTTTTTAACTTGTCCATGATTTCTATGTTTAATTTTCTTTTAGATTAACTCCAATGTTAACAGTACCATTAATTTCAAAATCAGGATTATGGTATGCATTATATCAAAAAGGAGATTCGAATTTACAACAAGAGATTTATGTTGGATTTTGGGGAGTTTGTAGTTATGATCTTGATGTGAAAACTCATGAGATTCAAAATGAATCTTGTACTTCAATCTCATTAGCTTATTCATTTAAACTTTTTAATCATCGGTTTGATGAACATAAAACACCTAATCAAACTTCTGGATTAGAAATTAATGCCACTCAAACTACTGTTCTTTTATGGTATCCGATCGGTAAGTTTTCATTCATCAGATCTCTTTCCTAGAATAAATTGTCCTAATTATAACATGCTGGTATGTTTTTTAGTTTCGATCTTGATTTTAATGGGAATAAGTTTATCAACTTCAAATCAACTTAAGAATATAAAAAGAAGTTTGATTTGTTATTTTATGTCAAGTTTAATCACTTTTTCAGTTTATAGTGGTACATTTATGATCTTTTTAGACTTCAAAAATCAATTCTTAAACACTCAACTTTCAACTCAAACTCAAGATTTAATTCCAATCGAAGAACAAATCTTATTCTTAACTCATTTACCTTTACTTTCAGGTTCATTATTATTTGTGAATTCTTTGATTGGTTTGATTAGGTATAAAAATTTGAAAACTTTACCAGATCAGGAAATTACTAGAGATGAAGAAAGTAAACTGGCAAGATTAGGACATGGTCGTTTTGTTCATCCTTTTGGACTTCATCAATCTAGTACTTTGAATGAACTTCAATTCATAGATGAAAAAATCGAAAAAGAAGGAATCGATATTCAAATCCATCATCCATCAGTTCCTCCGGCTTATTATCCTTCGAAATCAAGTGAATGAAACCTTTAAACTCTTTTTCTTTTGCTTGTTTTTTCTTCTTCAATTTTTTTCTTGTTTTTGAAGTTCATTTGGTAGGTTTCTTTTTGATTAAATAAACTTTCATCCCAATTCTCATAAAACAAAAAATCTACAGTTTTCCTTTTTTTTTCTTCTTCCAAATGTTTATATAGATTTGCTTGTATAACAAATACATATTGATGGTGATAGAGATTTAGATCTTGTAGTTTTCTTTTTTCTTGTTTTTTTGAATGGAATTGATTGTTTGATCTTTTACATGTTTGCACAAGCAAATTGTTTAAACTTTGAGAAAACCAAAAGGTAAAAGGAGAGATTTTTTTTTGTGGAACTTTGGGTAGCATAGTTCATGAAGCTGAAGATATTTAAAAGTTTTTCAACAGTACGAAAAAGGTCGTCAAGAATATCTATAGAGATTTACTTTGCAATACAACAGCTAACACTGGTGATCTCTAGTAGATTACGATATCATTACATCAGTTTTGGATATCTAAAACGCAGACACGGCAGGTTGGCAGGTTGATCAAGATTGCAGCTCAATCAGGGTACACAAATATTGTTATGGAAATTCTCAGACGACTTTTTCCAGAACACCAGAAGGTTTTTTTTGGTGTGTTTCTGGTGTTCTGGTGTTCTGCAACTTCAAATGCCCCACTTTGTGTGTTTTCCACTGGCTCATTTTTGTAATCTGTGGCCTTGAAAGCCTTTATCCATTCGCTTCAAGTAGACATCTGATTGAACTTATTGAACTTGAATGGAATCTTGTTAGGCTCCAGGAATTCAGACCTACATATGAAAGGGAACCGAAGTGATCACTGAGTTTAAAGGGAGGGAGACTTACCCAGAGAATTGGAGGACTGCCGGAGGTTGGGAATCGCGGGAATGGGAATAGGATGTATGAGCCTGTACTCACCGCCACGTTTCAGTCTGTTTCAGTCCAAAGGTTTAGACTGAGCAGTACACAATTATCCTCAATTATCTTCTTCGTAAACATTCGTCCCATTGGCCTACATAGAAACCATCCTGTCTATGTTTTTAATGCATTTTGAGTACAACTATGTAGTGCGCGACATAAGACTAGATCACATTTCGATGATCTTGACCAGACCGATCATACAAACATCCTACTACAGTCTAACCCGCGCTGTTGTATACCCGCGCATATGTATATCCAGCCAAAATGCATAGGTGTTGGTCTCCACCCAGCTGGTGCGGGCCAGAGAGGGTTTTTAATTGTATAATGCATAATGCATAGGGTCAAAGCAAAAAAAATCAGATGTTGGAAGCAGTATTGCATAGTTTGAACCCACTGATGAGGTGATGATACCAACAAAAAGTAACAAAAGTGGTGCTTCGAGTCTGAGATGACCAATAAATTTGTATCACCCACTTTACGTGGTCTTCAACTTCCGGAGATCACTGTACATCTTCTTTTCTCATGTCTGCTGCTGAAAGTGATGAACCCTCTTTGGGCATCCAACCACTTAAATACAACCATGATGCTCCAATCCATGCCACCCGTATTCAAAATATAATTTATCTTGCTTCATCGCCACTCAAACCAGCTGATTTCACACCAGACTTAGTTTCAGAAGAACACGATCTCCATCTTCTTGAGAAAGGCCTTGAAAGACTTAAAAGAAACAACCAACACCGTGCTGATCAACTCGAAACTCGCCAAGAAAATGGGGAAACTTTAAGTCGTGAAGAAGAAGAATGGCTCGATGACAACGGAAACTTGATCACAGAGCAACTTGTCGTAGATAGTTTTCTAGCCCTTCAAGAAAAGACCCCCTGTCTTATGCATTCTTATCAATTTGACGCTTTAAAATGTATCATTTCATCCTATCAATCTCTTATCTCTGAAGGTACCAAAAAAAAGATGGACAATAAAAAGACTAAATCTAAAGTTCAATCTCAACTCGCCAAACCAGTCCAATCTAAGAGATCCAACCGCAAGCTCTCAAGTTTGAAGCAAAGCCTCACTTACAGCCAACGTGTTGAAGTACTTGACTGGTATCACGCCAACGGAAAAAGTCAAACGAAGACATACAAGCATTTTGTATTATTGTATCCCAACATGGGAGTTAGTCAGCCTAACATAAGTCGATGGCTCAAGGACGAAGACCGGATTCGAGACACATCTACCACCGTCAGCGGACAAACTAAGCGAAAAGCCGAAGTCAAATTCCCCAACATTGAGGAGCTGCTTGTGACCTGGATCCGCGTGTGCGAAAAGAGTGGACAGTTTGTGACCGGGGACCAGATCAGGGAGAAATGGAATGAATTTGCTCGACTTGAAAAGATCAAGAGCAAAGACTGGCTCACCTTGACAAATGGATGGCTCGATTCTTTCAAAGCCCGACACAACCTCCGAGAAATCAAACGACATGGCGAGGCCGCCTCGGCCAGTCCAGATTCCGTGAAGGCTGAGCGAGAGCGTGTCCGTGAGATTACCGCTATGTATAAACCAGGTGATGTTTATAATATGGACGAGACAGGACTTTTTTATGCGTGAGTTCACGGTTCTTTAATGTGTCTCTCTTTTTGCTATTGTTTGTTATATTCCTCATCCTTCTTTTGTATGTTTATCTATCTTGTTACATCCAGGATGCCTCCTGATCGTGGTCTAGCAACCCATGCAACTGCTGGTTTGAAGGGTACAAAGGCTCGTTTAACTATTGTATGTGTCACCAATGCTGACGGAAGCGACAAGCGTCACCTCACCATCATCGGCCGGTGGAAATCACCACGATGTTTCAACAAAAAGTCACCATCTGAACTCGGGATTGATTACTATTCCAATAAGACCTCATGGATGACTTCCGTCATCTTTGAGATGTGGATTTCAAAGTGGGATCGTGAGCTCCGAGCCAAAGGTAGAAACATACTTCTATTACTTGACAATTTCTCCGGTCACTCAGTCCCAGCAAACCTCCTCACAAACATCCGACTTGAGTTTTTCAAACCAAATCTCACTGCTCATGTTCAGCCACTTGATGCTGGCATCATTCATGCTTTCAAGTGTCACTATCGCAAGAGATTTCTCAATCGCGCCTTCCGACGCCTTGGTGACAATGCGACTGCCAAGAACGTCTACGACATCGACATCCTCACTGCAGCACGACTTGCCAAATTTGCTTGGCATTCACTTACCCCCGAAACAATCAAAAACTGTTGGGTCCATTCTGGAATCATCGATTTCAAAGATGGGATTGTGTAAGTCTTGCTTTTCCTTGCTATATTGCTCTCTATCTCAGATTGTTCTGACTATGTCCGTCTGTTTGATTGTACAATAGGCTACCTGATGTTGATCGGGACAACTTCCCAATTCCGGATGGTTTAGAGCTTGAACAAGATTTACAACGTCTTCAGGATGTTGGTCTTCTTTCTAGCCGGAACCGAATGTCTCTTTCCGAGCTGTTGAATCCTGAAAACGAAACCCCCGAGCTTTTCGCCGCCTTAACCGCTGAAGACGTTTTCGATCTAGTCAATGCCTCCGAAGACACTGACGATGTAGATGATCAAGAACCACAACCGATACCCACATCTGCTGATGCTCTAGCAGCTGTTCACACCATCCTAGCTCACATCGAGGGCACTGATACAGCTCCCGGTCTGAAATTGGACAACTCCTTGCAAAAATATGCTGAGATGCTCGAGTCCGAGTTATTCTTTGGTAACAAAAAACAAGTCGCCATAACTGATTTTTTTAAGCGTGTCACTATATCTAACACCTGATCATCAGTTCATCTTCGATTCTCTTTACACACATCGTACCCGATGAGACATGTCCTGCAAAAGAATGTTTTTTTTTTCATTCGCATGTTGTACTTGACAAAAGAGTGCCTATGAAATAAATTTTCCTTGTTCTTTTCTATACGTATTTTAAATAAAATCATGTTGAAAGCTTCGAACTTGTTGCTCGATCGAGTCACATGAGCTAATATGATACCCGTACTATTGTATAAACTTATACAATACAGCCCACACTATAAATGCATAAATTTATGCATTTTGAGGGTATAGGTCCAAAAGCATAACCCGTGCAATTGCATACCAAAATCGGTCTCCCCAAATTATGCATCTGCGCGGGTTAGACTGTATGAACATATCAAAATAAGAGTCTTACAAGCTCTTCGGATGATTTTTCTCACTTAAGTTGAGTAGGAGTGGGGAAGGGTTGCATATGAAAGGACCTACGGGAGATCCGGGTGAAAAAGCCTCGATCGCTGTCACCTGCTGTCACATGTTAAAGCATCGATCAAGCGCCATCATCAGAGCGGTCTGAGTGCAAGACCAACTTTGATAATGATCGGAAGAGAGTCAATCAAATGTCTTCTTTTACTTTCTTTATCGTGTTTCTCTCACTTAAAGCGCTCTGAAATTTGGACAGGCCAAATTGGTCTGACGGTGCTGTTTGTTCTAGCGTACGCTCTCGACTGATGTTGTTCTCGCGATCTTGTGATATTTTTGATCCTCCTGATTATCATTTTGTTATCTTTGTTGGTATCGATCTATGTGTGCTCAAGATGTGCTCCGGCCGGTATCCGGCGGCTTCAGGCCATTCCGACGACCGAACCGACGGATATTTTGTTTTATCCGCACCGATCGGATAAAATCCGATCGGTTTTTTTTCTAAAAACCCCTCGTCCGACACTCGAGCCGATACACCGGATACGCCGGATTTCCGCCGGATAGCCGGAGTATCCGGTGTATATCCGGCGTTATTTTTCCCTCCCCTCATTCCGAATACCGAACCGGCCGGATTACCCGGCCACCGGACAATCTTGAAGGCCTTTCCGGCATCCGGATCCGCCGGAGCATCCGACGGATATCCGGCCAGAACCCGGGTCCGGGTCTCATCTTGAATGTGTGCCTTTGACACTCTGTACCAGTTTGGACTTGTATGTTTTTGATTGTACTATATCATTACTCTTTGGCTTTTAACAATGACTTACTCGGTTATTTGTTCATTTGTTTGATTCGAGTTTTCATTGATTCTTCTCTATCACGGAGAATATGATACTTCAGCTTATGATATCTGATTGAATCATTGGTGTTTTGTCAAAAAAACAAATCGTTTTTCTTGTTCGCCTCATAATTTCAATCGATATGTCGGTTCGGAGCGGTTATGAATCGATGATGTTACTGCTCTGGAACAACTGGAACTGCACAACCTCTGGGAGCGTAACAGTATCAGTCTTATCCTGAGACTCACTCGCTCTGAGACTCTCTCTGAGACTCTCAGGGCTACAGAAAATAGTGGCTTTCTGTACACTCGTCGTACAGTGTGGTCAAGAATGGTGGCACTCCATAGTTCATTATTGATTCGTTTCTCAACTCTTGTTATATTTCTTACATGGTCACTAATTTCACTTATGGCATTCTGAAATAAGAATCAATCATATTCAACCTAAAAATCTTGCCATTTCCTCATCTGACATGAATCTGACCATGATCGATTGGTTCAATTTTTACTCGGCCACATGATCAATGTAAGAATTGATAATAAGAAGATGAATCGAAATACGAAGTTTTTGTCATTTTCATGTTCAATGTGATCAGACTCAGAGCGACTTCAAGATGAACTTCAATAATCTGTTCCTCAGCCTTTCCATCATATGTTGTTAAGCTCAGCTTCTAATCTCAGAATCGAAAAAGAACCAACTTGGCATCTCCCTCTTATTGGCCAATGAAGCTAATTCAAACTTCTCCTTCTCTTATAAGTTTTCACAATCAAATTCGACCGTTTGAATACCTGGCTCATCTTCTATCGTTTTTACTCTTGAAATGATATTTTCGAAGCTCTCGATCCTCGTAATGCCTCTCAACCTTTATGTTAATGTGGCTAACAGCGCGGTAAATTTTTCAAAGCTCGACTTTCAAACCGAATTACAAAGATGTCTTGAATAGTTTTCTTTCATCATTCAGAATTAGACTGTTATTTTCTTTTGGAGCGATTAATTGTTTCAATCTTCTTTATATCGTCTCTTTTGCTTCACTTTTGCCTACTTTTCACAGAGCTTATGTGACTTCCCAATCCTCATTCTTACCCAACCACTTGATTCGATGTTTTAAACAAATTATTGTAGGTTCCTTTTTGCCTTTGATTCCTTCAATTTGATCCTATTTCCTTCCAATCCATCAATCGTATACCTTTGTAGGACCCGGAATTTCAGAGAATAACAAAACACGCCACTTGAGAAGAAATTGTACTATCCCTGTATATGCCAGGTATTGTCTCAGGGAGTCTCAGTGAAAGACTGATACCGCAACTCTCCTCAACCTCTCAATGCTCGGTGATTATTGGAAAGGAGGTAACTTTGTCTACAAACATACGCGAGTGACTGAAGATGAAAGATCAAGCTGCATATCTCAAAAGGGGTCTTGAACGTCTATAAGCCAACGGTGTGGCGCTTTGTTGGATGTTTCAAAATAAAAGTTAAGACCAATTGGGCGTTGACCAACCCCTGTATGCCTATTCATTCATACAGCTCCCAATCCCAATCCCATCCCATTCCCAATCTCCGGTCAGGATGAGCCCCGAGACCCGCCAAATCGGGGATACCCGCGGGACAGCCCGTCGGGTCGGGGGGTCGTTCTGGCCTTCGAAGGGTCGCAGAACCGCGGGGATTATCGGGCCCGGGAGTCGTTCTGAGAGTCAAAAGAAAGTGACTCTCCTCGGGGAACCCGAGGAAAAATCAAGCTGTAAAAAGCGGATAAATACACGCTTGGGAGAGGTTGTGCTCAGCGGTTTCTGCCGGAAATAGCCGGGGACTCGGGGATCCCCGTAATTTCCCGGGGATTTGGTAGTTGGTCGGGGGTCAGGGTACGGGAGCCGGGCTTGACCTATGAGCCAGAAAAAGCTCGGGGAATACCGGGGTCGGTCCTCGTTCTGACTTTTGAAAAAAAGTCGGTGGGCCGGGCAGCCCAGTCCCCGGCATTCGGGGGTCGGGGCTCATCCTGAATCTCCGGCAATCCTCTGGTGCTCCCGACTTAGGGAGTGGGAATTGGATTAAGTCTTGAGAATGGTTTAAGTTTGGTGTTAAGTTCTGTTAAGTGGTTTTGGCTAAGGATATCTTAAAAGTTTAAGTCGACCAAGTGAAATTCAATTTGAGTTCTGTTGTGTTCTATTCGATTCCATTTCTCTTCTTTTCTTTTCTTTTCATCACTTCAACATCAACATTCAACAAATCAAACCATCAACTCTCAGACCTCTCAACAATTTACTTTACCTTTACCGGATTCCTTCGTCGGACGGTCACATCAACAGCTTTTCGAAGAACACATTCAGTTGTTTACCTATTTTGGTCTCACTCGATCTATTCACAATCGAAAACCGAACTTGAAAAGCTTTCTTCATCTTGAAACCACAGACAAAGCCATCTGATTAGCTACCTCAACAGTCGCTTGACTCATCTCATTAGAGCTCGCGCTCCATAACACCAGCAAATCTGGCTCTTGCATCGGCGACGGCACCCATACTCTCTCGAATGGAACAGAGGGATGTAGTCGGATCTATTAGTACCTTCAATGCTCCTCAAGATATCATCATGGCTCCTCCCAATGGTATCCAACCTACTTCACAAACCTTTTCAAAACCATCATCAAATCTTACACAACCTATCACAACCCAACCTAATGGTTTTCATCATCCTGCTCAAACTGGTGCTTCTTGTCATCAATCTATTTCACCTCCGGAAATTCTTATGGCTCCTCCAGATGTCAATCCGAAGTTATCGAATCATCTTAGTCCTAGTACATGTACCGAACCCAAATCTCATCCGCCTCTTCCACCCAAACCGAGCTCAAAAACTCTCTTCTTCCCCGTCATCGAGACAGGTGAGTTGATCATATACATCCTTCTATTGTATCACTTCTCTAATAAGTATTTGTTTTGATAATTCATTAGGTCATGCTACACCTGCTCCCCTTAGTGGATCATCCGATCTGCTTTCTCTCTTCAACGTCACTTACATGTACGATAAATTTGTTCGACCATATCTGAAACCGACAGACACAGTTGGGACAAATCTGGTCAATGGAACAAGTCATAGTGATTTGAAAGGAAAAGGAAAAGCAGATGTAGTTATCAATGGAAATGGACTACCATCAGGTGCATTAAGCTTTATAGAGTCTTATTGAGCAGATTTCGATTGGTCTATTTTTGGAAATCGTTTTTCTTTTTCCTATTGGTTTGATAGTTTGATGATCTCTAATCGGTTCATTCTTACTTTTTGGTTGAATCAAGTAGATAGTTCAATTCCAAAACGAATGAAAATGGAAAAATCTTATGGTCATTTTGTAGCTGATATTGGTGGTAAATCTTTTTTTTGGGTTTCTCATCATCTTGATTAACAAAACCAGAACATGAATTTTGAATTTTGAGTTGAATTTTTTTTTGTGAACTTCAATAGGACGAAATTCGATTAAAAAAGATCATCAACTTTCGACTTGGATTATGGATCCTAATTTTCAAGAATCATCTATACCTAATTTTTTAAAACCTCTTCCAACTGAAACTTTAGCTCAAGCTTTTACTCTTCAGTCTGGTGTTTTACCTGGTGTAAGTTTTTCATTAGATTATTTTAAGAGTCTGGTCTTTTCTTGAACTGATCATTTGTTGTTGTTGTTTTGTTTATAGTTTGATACTTCGGTTTGGATAGCTGAGGAAGGTGGTCCAAAACGAAAGGTAAACTGAACTAACCCACATCTTTCTCAACATTTCCAACACTTTATAATTCAACCGGGGTTTTTTTCTGACATTTTTTGATTCTTTTTGTCTTTATTAGCGTAAGAAACGTAAACAAGGAGAAATGAGTGGAACAGTAGAAAGCGTACCACCTTTGAATGTATCAAATGATACACAATCTAATTCGGTTCATCCTTCAACCCAACCAAGAAGGAATTTAGAGAATGGAATTCATTCCAATCATCCAAACCTTTCAAAAGAAGAAGATCATCGAAAAAAGAAACGTACAAAACTTTCGAATGGAAGTTTACCTAATTGAATCCTTTTCATAGAAAAAATGATTCAGATGATTTAATCTTTTTCTTTTTTGTTTGGGGGACGGGTTTTTGGTGAATTCGATTTGATTTGATTAGTTTTTTTTTGTGAATTTGTGAATTTGTTGGAATTGAGATGAGAGAGATATACAAGATCGGATTCAAGAAGATTGGATTAGGAGTTATATTTTGATTATGGATCGATTTATGAGGTTTGATTGGGTGTTGTTTTGGATAATCATATCTTTAGTGATGAAAGATTTAAGGTGATTTCATTTACAATTTTAAGAATCTTGATGATCATGAAAAGAAGTCATGAGGGTTTATGAATTAGTCATCAGTTATCCGTCATCAGTTATCAGTTATCAGTTATCAATCACCAGTCATCAATTATCAGTTGTCAGTTATCAGTTATCAGTGACTCTATGTATATCTGTCTGATGTTTGAGTGATGATCTTGTGTGTTTAGAGGACTTTTGTGTGTGTGTAGATTGTTCAGTAGGATGATGGGTCGAGAAATGGTGTGATTTGTAACAAAGCATTTTGATTGAGATGACCAATACAGGGCAAAGCGATTTGCACTGTTACATAAGCCACACTTTTCCACCTTTTACAAATTTATGGCTCTAACTGTTTTATAAGACATTTAGCCAGGTATTGGTTAGGCTCTTTTGAAGTTCAGCTCTGGTCTGATTTGTGATGATGTCACTGGTATAGGTCTGTTTCAAAAAAATTGAAATCAGCTTGCTTTAAGTTGTTTGATTTCTTGAGATGAGATTAGAAGACTTGCATGAAGATGAGTTTATGAATTATTTGAAGATAAATACTTTGTACCAAACTGGGAACTAAAACATGCTTGAAGAGGTAAATGAGGTGAGAATTTGTTCATCAATCCACAGGGATTGGATTAGACCTAAAAACTTACATACCCTTTTTGACTCTCTTCTATTGAACTGTTGAAGTGGAAAAACTGGTTGATAAGTTTTTTGCCCAACCCCTAATAGATTCAATTTATAATGAAACCCACACAAAGAAAAAGTACCTTCTTATATCTTCTTGACCTTTTATTTTAGAAAGAAGAGACCACAGACATTTGTATGCAAATAAAACATGCAAATGTCTAATTTAAAATCATAGCAGTACATAAATCCAGAACCAAAAAAAGGATAAGAAGGGTGGGTGGGTGCAAAAGTATAAGTAGAGAAAAAGTTGATAATGGATGAAGACAATGAACATGATCAGAATGAGATTGGTAAGGTGGTAAACCGTCATGACATCATGGCTGTCATATGAATAAAACCTGTTAGTTCAATTACACAAATTGTTAGAAGATTGAATCACATCACATTCCCACCAGCTAAAAACCAGGCACCAACAACTCTAACAACTCTTTTCTTGAAAGATGTTTCTCTTTAGTCTGATACTAGACCTTGAGCTCCAAGCTACCACACAGGCCAAGGCATAACATTTTGCTATTTATAATTTATGACCAGTCATGAGATCATAATGTGCAGTCCTGGAACTTGAAGAGTGAGTGAAACAATGACAAAACATGGGCTTTTCATAATCATGAGTATCTCAATGATCACAACTCAAAAAAACCATGATAAAGAATGGAAAGATGATAATAGGAATTCAATGATGGAAACAGAGTGGGGGGGCTGCAATTGGCATTCCAAAATTTGCCATTGTAAAAAATGAAACTGTTGAAGTGCATAGGATGTTTTTTTTGCAAGAACCTTATAAAATGAAAATATTGGAAATATATGTACTATTTGAATCTATTTACCTACAGATACATGTCATGAATCACACCACATTCATTTTTTTTTTTTTTTTTTGAATTTTGTGCAATGGTTCATTGTGGGTTCAACTCAAGATGACTGTGCTTGGTTGCAATGAGACTGGGATATAATGCTTTGAGAGTGGTATCCTTTTTTGCCTTTTACTTTCCTTGATTATACTTAGGAAGATTGAAAGAAGATTGTAGAAGTTGAATTCTTTTAAAGATAGAATAAAAGATTGGCAAGGTTTCAGCCAAGTTGATTCTTTTTCTCAAAAGATAAGTAAGGGTTTTTTGATTTTGATTCAAGCAACCCTGGGCCAGCAACGCAGGTGTTGCGTGTTGCGCTGCGCCTGCGTTGCGGTTTTTCTGACCGCAGCGCAACATAGAATCAAATTCTAGGTTGCGGCCTGACCCGCAGCGCACCATCATTTGTCAAATCGATGGATTTTTTGGGCCGCAACAACATTTGTTGCGTTGCTGCCCAAAAAAAATCACAGTTCGGCGTTTTTTTGGCGCTGTTGCGCCTGTTGCGTTGCGCGACGGTCAAGGCGCCGCGCAACCTGACCTCACCTTTTGTTGTTGCGGTACTTACCGCAGCGCAGCATGTAATGCAGGTTTGTGCTGCGTGTTGCGGAGCAACGCACCAAAAAACACTCGTGTTGCGGTGCGTTGCGTTGCTGGCACAGGGTTGATTCAAGGTAAGAGAGTTTTCTTGTAATTGAATTGTTCTTTAAGGACGAGTTCATTGATTTTTCACAAAAGAATGTTGCAGTTGGTTTGTAAAAACAAAGAAAGGAAAAGAAAGTTTACAAGAGCTTGATGAATTTATTCAAAGGAATGTACATAAATGTATAAGATATAATTGTTTTAAATGAGAGAGAATCTTTTTGAGAAAATTACAAACACTTCAGCCAATAATGAATGTGAGAACTTGAAGGTCAAGATGCTTTTGAAACACTCTTTCTCTTTTTCTTTTTTGGTGTTGGATCATCTTGCAGAGGAGGTGGTGGTGGTAAATTACTTTGACCTGATTCAGATTGAACTTCTTCTTCAACTTTTCCTTTTCCTTTATCTTTAATTTCTTCTTTACCTTTATCTTCAATCTCTTCTTTTCCTTTATGACTACCAGATTTACGTCTTAAGAATTGTGACCAATAAGTACGATTATGACCTGAAAGAAATTCATCTTGATCTGATCTTCTATAATCACGTAAACCTTCTAAAAATTTATTAAAGAAAAATATAGATGAGATTATGATTAAAATCGATCCAATTAAAGGTAAATAAGTTTCAATTAAAATTTCTCCTTTGATTGGTAATAATCTTGAAGTTTGACTTTTCATTAATTCTGATGTTAATTGTAAAAAGATTACCATCGTTGCTGCAAAGGCTCCTAAACTCATTAAACCTGATGTTAATGCACAGATTGAAGCGTATCTCCAAATCTCAAAATTCGATGAGAGTGATAAACAAATTGAAACAGCTGTTAACATCGCAGCTAGATTGCATGAGCAAATATGGAATCAGGAAGTAGAATAAAAGAGTCAGTTAAATATTTAAGGGGGAAATGAATTTTAGATCCATCTTATCACAAAGAAAAAACAGAATAAAAACATGAAACTCACCAAGTGGATACCAAAAGAAAAAAAGAGTTTGAGTCACATTTAGATCACCTTTAGCATCAGGTATTGTATCAGATAAATGAAATGAATAAGCTGGTTTACTTGAAGTACATTTTGTTTTTACATCAATTGGACTTTTATAATCTGAATCATAACTCGTGATATGTTCATAAGTACAAACTCCCCAAAAACCTGCCAAGACATCTACATGAATATGATCATTATATTTTAATAAACCACGCCAGAGTGCCATTTGTGGAACTAATGGAGTTGTTAGTATTGGCATCATTCTTTGATGTTGAAGTTCGAGTTCCCCCCCAAGAAAAAGCAAAAAAGAAATCAATTTTTGAATAGATTGAGGAGGAAAGAAGATGATGAAATGACTGACATGCAAAGGATTCCCAAAGCTGCACAACTTAAGCCAAAGTACGACAATAATTTAAGACGGGATGGGATCCCTTTCATTGTTGGCATGATATTTGATCGTTTGTCTGAAAAGAACAAAAGACTAGACTATTGAATGGACCCCCTATTGGATCAAGTCAAATTTTCCTTCTATCTTGTTTTAGAGTTTGTGTACTCTGTGAACCATATGTTGATGTGACTAATGATGATATATATACTTGAGAAAAATGAATGACTGAAAGAGAATAATTGAAGGAAAAGAATGTAGGATAGAAGAGTAAAAGTGCTGAATTTTTCTTCGAGATTTTTCTAGATTTCAAGAAAAGTCAATGAATGAAGATATTTGTTTTGAATCAATGCGTACCACTTGTCATTAGCATCCCATCATATCGCTGATACAAGTTTATGTGCGCAGATGTGTGGGCCGGAGATGAAAGATTGTGTATCAGTTCTTTGCTCTTACTTGATAGAAAATCGCGTGGACTAGTAAGATCAATTGGTCACATCGAAGCATCAGAAGGATGAAGATTTCTCCTTTATGTTTGATAGAATTCGTGTTTGACTTGGATGATACTCAAAACATCAATCTTATAATGTCATGACGAGGATTGCCTCATTCATCCGAGGTTTGAACTTATCGTAGACTACCTAGTTTCATGAGGGATTTTGCGGCTGTGATGCCTCGTGTCAATTATTATTTTGGCAAGTGTTGAGAGCTATATGATTAGAGCTATCATAGAGGATGGCGATATGACGATAAGCCGTGTATTCTGCTTGCTTATCCTTCATCACTCAACTCAATTTTGTCTTTATTTTCCTCATTCCAACCATTGTCTGTGACATCAAGTAGCGGAGTATATAAATGTCCCTCCTTGTGCATTTCTCAATTTTTTAGGTCCAGACTTGAAAGATGCACTGTCTCAAAGCTTAAGTTCAGACAGTTTTTCTCGGTGTGTACTGTTTACACGATGCTTGCAGACTACTCAAGCTTTATCACTTTGTGCTAAGTATTACCGACTGCATACGAACGAGTTTCATTTCAAACTTCCCTATGATTGGGTGCACCTCAACAACAGTACAGCGCTCGAATCAAAAATTGTTTGCTGAGAAATTTCTCGAGATTCACTTAGCTTATCCCCTCAGAGTTATGTGAGGTCAAGCTTTAGAAGGACACAAAGAGTTCTCAGTAAGGCAGTGAGATAGCACAAATTGTGATGAAAAAGATTGTACCTAATGGTACAAAAGACACATGGTAAGAATGAATGAGAAAAGAATCAGAATGTAAGGGAGAATATTCATTCTTATATATTGTCTAAGACTCGTGCAACCAAGGTAGATAACATAGATTAATGAAGGAATCACATAATACGCGTCATAAGGGAAATGAAAGTGATGTCATGACCGCAAGAGAGACACGAAAAGATCGGGCATTTATTATCTCAATAAGAGTTACAGACATGGCATCAAGGATACCAGCATAGAACATCGCAACTAAATTGTATAGCTTTTTTGTGATTAATTATAGAACTAATGTGTGGAATCATGTATCATCGAACAGGTCAAATGTCTTATTTGGAGAGCCGTTGTATCATATCACCCTCGCCCACGATAATCCCATAGCGAGAAGTGCAGTTAAGGTTGAGGAAATAATGTTGACCTTACAGATATTGAAAGCGAGGTAAGTATTGAGCCTATTCATGAACTGATGATTATTGCTCACCTGGTTATTGCTCAGAACGTCAATGCCAGATACTACTACTACTTCCTTTGGGCCACCAAGTTTGGTGCCAGGGAGAACAACCTTTTTATCGATTTTGGAGTACAATGTCTGTTGAAGAGTTGCTCCTAGAAAAGAGTCAACCTGAATATTTATCAGATATAGATTGTCAATTCTATTGCCTTTCAAAACTCATCAACATACAAAGTTGAAGAGGTGGAGTAAAGAAAATTAGACTGAAGTATGAGAAGTAAAGAGGACATACCACTGAGCAAAAAAGGCCAAAAAATCCAGTTTGCATCATGAGCATGCTCATTCCCGATGGTAGTGGTTGGAGGTTCGTATCGAACATGCATCTCAGAGAGACAGCCATCCCGATGAAGATGCCACCCAAAGCCGAGAAGCCTAGCCCGACTAAGCTCACACCTCCATTGGTTCCAGGTGGGACCTAGTATATGATAGACAAATCAACAAATGTCAATATTGATAGGGATTTTGATTCTAGGCATATAGGATCAGAAGTTCGACTTGAGATCAAACCTTACCTCTTTCAAGTTGGTAATAAGCCTTGGAGGCGCGCGGGACAGGAGACCGAGCTTGAATGGTCAAAACAGTAAACCACAAACAATCGAAAATCGTCCAAAGTGATCAACCTGACATTAATATCATCTCACGATGGAGCTTGAACTCGGTGTCAAAGGGTTGAGGAAACCATTTAACCTACTTCACTAGCTAGCTGTGGTATGAAGTTTATGGTAAGAATGAATCAGTTACGAATCTCGACCATCATGAACTGATGCGCGAGAGAAGAGAGAACCAAAACGAACTGTATCACCGCTACAACCTGACCAAAATGCCAGCGCACCCCAAATCAGGATATTAGATAGTTCCGAACCAGTACGCTCGTGGAATTGAATCGAATTGAAAGTATTGAAATCTTTAATCATAGGATCGATAAAAAATCTATGACCAATAGCACACATAGTTCCAACCCATGCATTACAGATCACTTGTTTCCAATCCCTACCACCAGTGACAGATAATCTTTTGATTGTTTCATCGTTTGTTTTACCATGTTCGTCATCAACTAAAGTTAATTTTATAGATTGTTTATATTTTGTTGCTTTGTTTCCAATTAAAAAAAATGAAATTAAACTAATACCGAAGATTGGATTCGGATTGGCTAAAGTTGTATAACCTATCAATAAAGCAGCAAGTGCACCAGAGAGTTGAAGTGAAGCTTTTCGAAAATTGTGAATAGATAGAAGAACAACTGTTACAAATGACCATGGGTAAAGGTCATCTACAGAATTGAGGAAAGCCATTAGCAAAAATTTTAGAATTTATCAACGAGTAACTTGTTTCAAGGAGATTGGTTCAAGGAAAGGAGATAACGATATCTCAATAAATAGGACCATCGATCGATGCATCATGATCAACCTTGGAAATGGAATATTATGAGAGTTAGAGTCAAACTTAACAAATTCCACTCTGAGTTAGAGTTATGATGCGTGATGCGGGGATCGAGTTGCAACGATCGTAAACTTGTCCCTCCCGCCCGAGTAGTCGAGGGATGCAACGATCGTGAGATGCGGGGAGATTCACGCCTGTACACCTAGAAACTATCAAAGTCCCCCTCTCACGTCCTCCCTCACGAAGAGGGGACAGGGGGGACTTTGATAAGTTTACCTGAAAACAGTTGATGGAGCAGTGCTGATAATTCACTGTTCATCTCTCAAAGATGAGAAATCATTCAGGATCCTTCACTGATAAACCTTGTGAGCTTGTTTATCAGTCCTATAAACATCATTACAATAGAAAGCAGCATCATTTTCTATCATCTTACATTGGAATGAATCATAACGTGAGGGGTGGAACATGCTTGACAATTTGTGACTAGGCAAATCATCGGGAACGGTAGAGAATCCAACCTGGCGAGAGAGGGTAAACTTATCAAAGTCCCCCCGCCCTACTATTCAACTGGCAACAGCAGGATTTTTGGCCATTTTTTGTTTTTGCCCATTATGAGGGTCACAGACCTCATCAAATCTTGCTTCCAGCCACAAGGATCTTCATTGGCACCTTGTACATGTCCTCATGTGTTTTGAGCATCCATTGTATTGATTGAGCTCACCCAGAAGAGTTGTGAAAAGTTGTAGCTGGACCACCCAATTTCATACAGGACCCCTAAGGCTTGCTGATGTGTCCAAAAACACGGCGTCCAAGAATTGCAATAACAGTGGATCTATCCACCATGATGATCTGAAACCAGGACCAGGAGACGCACAAGATTTCAAAGAAGCTATGTGCGGTTGGAATTAGGATTTTGTGAGGTGTGGAACCCTCAAAATGGGCAAAAACATACAAGTGGCAGAAACTCTTGCTGTTGTGAGTTGACAACCACAACATTAGCTTGGGCGGCGGGGACTTTGATAAGTTCAGAGAGAGAGACTCCACAAGGGACTTCACGGGATACTCCAGCAAAAAGTACAGTTTGATACTAAACTAAAGTCTCTCTTGGCAAGCAAGCCTGCAAGAGAGGGACTTATGGGTTATCCATGAGATTTGGTGTGCAAGCAAGAAACTGTTAGCTGAGGAGTTTTTCAACCCACCATAACTTTTTACCATACAAATAAACAGCCTTCAGGCCAAAGACAGATTCTGTGCGCCTGCTCAACCTACACATACTGCTTCTTGGGAATATCTCTCTTGGTTTCAGGAAAGTACTATAGAAAGACTTGAAAAATGGCTTTATGTGTAACATCTCAGCTTGGCCAGTATGAGCTTTTGACAGGTTGGACAGCTTTCTCAGGCATTTTGGGTTTTTTTGCAAACTTCAGCCTTCTATTGCTTGGCTATTCTTGCATCAAATATGCAGTGAGATACACCAATGTATGGAGGTTGAGCAGGCACACGGGAGCTCCCTTTGGTCCAAAGACTCTTCTCCATGAGTCTGTGCACTATGGGTTGCTATGGGGCCCCTTGGTGCTAAGTAATTGTGGGCGCTGTGTCACTGCATAGCACCGCGGAAGTGTGCTATGAACTGTGGATGTCAAAACCTCTATTTTGATAGGGGTCAGGGCCATAGCTATAGCATGGGTCAGAACCCGCTGTCCTGCCTAAGTCATAGCACGGGCAGAGTGGGCGCTCCACTATTGCTCTGTTGCTGCTATCTTGGGAGGAGCTCCGGGGGTGTTGCCACCATCAATCCCCACATCCAAAATATTATGTTTATTTAATAATCAACTGTCCCAACAGATCACCAGGTCTTCAACTACAATAAGAAGTTGTCAACAACAACAACCACAAGCACCATTACAATGACCACCAAATCCTAATGTTTATCAATCACTTTGATCAAGTATTTCTTAACTGTCAGGGTGGCTACCAAAAGGACACTAGTAAGGTCTAGAACTTACACAGTTAATTCCTGACTAAATATATATTCCTCTGGGTATGTGGAATATAAAGTACAAGTGTTACCTAATTAACACCACCAATGGTTTTTGATTAATATCTTACAGATATAATGATTTCTGAATTCCTAAGGAGGAAACCCCGGGCCTACTGTGGGGACAGTGGGGGATGGTCAATCCTAGACCCGGTTTTATTCTCTGAAGCAAGATGCTTAGAGTAGCCTGCTATTCTAGATAGACAGGGATCTTGTACAACTTTACGTTGCGAGAACTGGAAGTATTGACCAAGTAGAAATGACTTACTCAGGATCAAGTAAGAATATGTCTCCTTTGAGAATTTTAAAAGACTATCGCTGATGATGGGATATTGGTAGATCACGATGTGAGCCAAGAACTATAACTTGATTAGTTAAGACAGAGAGAGATATTGATCACAAGAAGTTAAGATTAGTATACCAAAGAATTCGAGAAGAATTGGAATAAAAGATGATTACGTTTATTTTACGATCTCAGTTTTCAAAAAATAGTAGTGAGTACTTCTACAAAGTGGAACATATAAAGGATCAGAAAATTAATATAGTTGGTAAAAGAATCTGATGGTTTACTACATTGGACTTTAGGGTGTAAGAGTACTGACATTTTTTTTTCTAAGAAAATTAGAGGGGTAAAATTCGATCCTCCCTTCTGTAGCTACCAAGTAAAGCTGCTTTTATATCTGATACTTGGCTGATTTGGTTAGTCGTCATTACCTAATAAGTTGGTCATTACGGTTCTTCTCCCCTACCCTTCAAAAAGATCTTGTCATACTTTACATAATATATATATTGGATTATGTAAGGTCAAAACTAGGACAAGTCCTTCTGTTCTAGCTTAGGAGATCTTTTGTCCTTCCGTTCTGACTGATGAGGTTGTTACGTCCTTTGTTATAGCTAAAAGAGTCTTTTGTCCTTCCGTCCTAGTTTATTATGTACGTATTCTACTACTATAAATCTTGGCGCTCCAGTCTTTATTTCTATTAATCCTTAGTTAGAGAATGTGTTGCTATGGGTCATTAATTCAAGTACTTCTTTTCTCGTATTTATTGTATAGATGGTTCTTTAGACTATCTCTTATCTAAGACACTTTCCTTAGTGTTTTTCTTTCTATAATTTATCTAGTATCTTTGTAGGACTAATTCCTGGGCTGTCTCTTAGTATGTGTGTTATTTGTTCATTCTTTCTAATAGTGGTTCATTGCGGTTACGGGACCTTCAAAACTAGGTCTTTAAGTTGTATTTTCTTTTTTATATTTCTGTTTTATGGAATCTTTGAAACTAGATTCGTAAGGTGTAATTTAGTATGCTTCTATAAAGATTGTTTGCTCTAATTTTTGTATATTATTTTCCACTTGAAGTCCTTTTGGTGCTTAGTCTTAAGCACTCGAGGGCTGACATTATCCTTATCATTATAATCATTCTACAAAGGATCATGAAGATCCAAGTAAATACATATACCACATATATATTGGCCCAATTCAACCTTATTCCCATTCTTCCTCATCATCCAAACCTCAAGGATCCTTTTGCTAACCTTTGTCCCTAAGTGAGCCTAAAAAGTGCACCTCCACAAACAAATTAGATCCAGAAATTTTAACTTGAACTAGACGTTCATCACATGTGACTTCTAAACCAAACTCATTCTCTATCTCACATATTGCAAGTCCCAAGGAATCCAGTGAAGAAAACAGCAAAAGCTCAACTTCTAAATCAAGTACATGTAGTGACATAAAAGCTACGGTTTTTTGTTTTTAATTTTTTAATTTTTTTGCCTTTGATTTTTGTTCTTTACCAATCTTCTGGTCAAACATGTCAATCATCACCTCTGAAATTGTTGATATGAAGCCCTGACCATCTGATCTTAAAAACCAAATGGTCGGAATGCACCTTGCAAAGAAGAGAAATGTAGATATCAGCCAAACTCTAGGGTGTCCAGTCACCACAGTCCATTCTGTCCTTGCAAAATTTAAGGCAGAAGGCTCAGTAGAAGGCCACAAACCCTCTGGCCAACCATCTCTGTTGACCAATCGTGATCTTCGGCATCTTGAGTGTGATGTCAAACAGTCTCGACAAGCTCCGATGTGTGAGATATTCCAAGGATCTGCAACAAAAGCGAGTGCTACTACAATTTGACTTGCTCTGAAATCCCTTGGTTACAACTTGAGAGTAACAATAGCCAAGCCCTATTTGAGTGCTAAACATAAAGCAGCACCTCTCGAGTTTGCAAAACATCATGTGGCGTGGACGGTGGATGATTGGAAGTGAGTCATTTGGACTGATGAATCCACCTTTGAGATTGGAAAGCCATATTGAAAAGTTTGGGATTGAAAAGTTCCAGGTGTGGCAAAAAGTGGCTGATAAGTATGATGCATCCTGTTTGGCGCCCTCTTGCAAATCAGGACGTAGTTCAGTGATGGTCTGGGGTGGATTCATTCCTGGACACAAGCTCAAGCTTGTCATAATGGAGCCTAGTTGTCAAAATTCAGAAAACTTTATTGAGCAAGTGTAGGGCTGTGACCCGGACCCGGCCCTGCCCGGCCAACTCTGCCCGACGTCTTTTGCAGAGCTGACGGTACGCGCCCCGGGGCATCCAGTTCCTGCTCCATGACAGCTGAATATGGCCCCGTGGACGCTCCAGGCGGCTCAGGCGCCCGGCCTGGCCCGGGTGTTGACTCTTTTTTTGCCAAAAAACACCTTCACACTAGTCTCTTACCGGCCCTGATCGGCCCTGAGCAGTTTTCAGAGGTCATCGGGCTCACTCAGGGCTAAATCTGGCCCCGGGGCCGGCCCTGAAATTTCAGGGCCGGGTCACAGCCCTAAGCAAGTGTATGAAAAATCACTCAGCCCTTTTCTACACGACTACTCCAATAACAAT